CTCACTGTCCCCCGCCCTCTGTCTCTCATTCTCCCCCATTCTCCTCCCCTCTTCCCCCCTCATTTTCCCCTCTCCCTCTCGCTCTCATTCTCGCTCCCATTCTCCCCCTCCCCCTCCCCCTCTCTCTCATTCTCCCCTCCTCCTTCTCCTCCCCTCTTCCCTCTCACTCATTCTCCCACTTCCCCTCCCTCTCTCTCATACTCCTTCCCCTCAGTCTCCTCTTCTCTTCCCTCTCCCTCTCTCTTTCTCCCCCTTCCCCTTCGTCTCTCCATCATTCTCCCCACCATTCTCCTCCCCCCTTCCCTCTCTCTAATTCTCCCCCTTCCCCTCCCTCTCTCTCTTATTCTCCCCGCGCCATTTTCTCTCACTCATTTTCCTTCTCTCTCCCCTTTTCTCCTCCTCCCTATTCCTGCCTCCCACTCTCTCCCACTTGTTCCCTAGTGCCTGCATTCCTCACACCTGATGTGACTGACTCAGTCACACTCTGTTTCCATTTCTCTTCCAGAGTTCTCCAAAGAGGACATGGCCAAGAGCCTGCTGCACATGATCAGCAATGACATCGGGCAGCTCGCCTGCCTCTACGCGAAGCTCCACCACCTGGACAGGATCTACTTTGGAGGTTTCTTCATCCGGGGCCACCCTGTCACCATGCGCACTATCACCTACAGCATCAACTTCTTCTCCAAGGTAATGAGACTCAGGTCCTCTCCCTTGGCCTCTGCCCTGGGCTTCATTCTTCCCAGGCACATTTACGTGGACTCCGGTGCTTTCAGCCCCAGGGTATGGTGCATAGGGCAGGGGACGAGAGTGTGCTCACCGGGCCCATGACGCCAGGGGGAGCAGGTAGTGAGTCTGAGCCTGCCCTTCCAGCCCTTCTGTCTTTCTGCCCTTCATCTGCTGCACTTGGCATCCTGCCTTTTAAAGTGCCATGGCCTCCTCAGGCCTTGAGCCTGCCCCAGTGATTGGGCATGAGGCCGCCTCTTTCCCCATTGACAAGCTTCACAGACAACTTGGAGTCATCTGGGCCAGAGGGCAGTACTACCAGGGTGTGTGCCCACAAGAGACAGTGTGCCTGCAGATTGGTGTGAGGTAGATCAGAACGATGCCATGTGCAAAAAAGCATGAGGTAGATCAGAATGATGTGTGTGCAGAATGGTGTGAATAGATCAAAATGATGTGTGTACAGAATGGTGTGAGTAGATTAGAAATGATGCATGTGCAGAATGGTGTGAGTAGATTAGAAATGATGCGTGTGCAGGATGATGTGAGTAGGTCAGAACGATGCGGGTGCAGAATGGTGTGAATAGATCAGAATGATGCGTGTGCAGAATGTGTGGGTAGATTAGAAATGATGCCTGTGCAGAATGGTGTGGGTAGATCAGAATGATGTGTGTGCAGAATGGTGTGAGTGGATTTGAATGATGCATGTGCAGAATGGTGTGAGTAGATCAGAATGATGCGTGTGCAGAATGGTGTGAGTAGGTCAGAATGATGCATGTGCAGAATGGTGTGAGTAGGTCAGAATGATGTGTGGGCAGAATGGTGTGAGTAGGTCAGAATGATGTGTGTGCAGAATGCTGTGAGTAGGTCAGAATGATGTCTGTGCAGAATGGTGTGAGTAGGTCAGAATGATGTGCTTTGCACAGATGAACCCCACTAGGGAAACTTGACTCCAGAAAACCAGATTTACAAACTAGACGATTTGAGTGGTTATTAATTTCATGGAAGGATTACTCCCTTTTGAAAATACTTACCCTCAGGTTTTGTCGAGCTGCACGCTCCCCTCTGCACTTAAATTTGTTCCATTGATAAGCCTGCTGTGGAGAGCTTTCCAGAAAGTTTCCACCACCACAGGAGGCACCCTGGTGTTAGATTATTCACAAACCATTCTGGTTAAGTCGTGGCCATCCTGGCCGGCTACATGGGGCATTTTGGGCTGTGGCAGGGAGAAGTCCAGGCGTTGTTCCTGAGACACGAGGGCTACCTGGGGGCCATCGGCGCATTTCTGAAAGGAGCCGAGCAAGACAGTGAGTAGCATGCCCTCGTCTTGTCCCTGTGAGCAGCCTCGGCCGTGTTGGGAAGTGTGCACAGGGCCCTCTAAAGCCCCCCTTCCTCTGTGTTGTGGGCAGCAGGCATTTGTGGGATGATAGAGGGGGGGGGGGGGTAGAGACTGAGGCCCCAGGAAGTGGTAAGGACGATATTTTTAACATTAAGATAAAGAAATGATCCTACCCCCCCCCCACCTCCACTCTTCCCCTTTCAAGTTGGACTTACCAGCTGTTGCTGGGCCAGTTCCTGCTTGCAGTGGAAGCGGCATGCTAGCCCTTCGACTGTAGTTGAGGGTGTCACTGTAAACAACAGGCCTCAGCCCCCTACTCCCTGCACTCCATTTCAGTGACCGCTCAGCTTAGCTCACTCTCCCAAAGGTGCCTTGAGGTCTGCAGCTGTGCGTCTGCCCTGGAGGGCACGGGCTGTCTGCTGGGGGACCGGCCAGTGCCACCCTGTCAGCCTCCACGAGGACGCAGAGTGCTGCGGGACCCAGGCCATCCCGGCTTTAAAAACTGCATCCTTAAGTTCAATTTTCTACTTGATAGAAATCAGAGAACTCTTTCCTGAGAAGCTCTAAAAGGTCTAAATCATTATTTCACAAGATTTCATCTCTAGCAGGAAAATAAGAAATAAAATAGAACAGAATAAAACGATCAGGAAAGAAAGCCCTCGCTCTCATGGCCCAGCAGGAACCCTCGGGGGGCTGTCCCCTTTACAAGCGCAGCCAGGCTGTCCTGGGATTCCCTGTGGGGGTTCTGAGAACAGTGTGTTGTTGCCCAGGCTGACGCGGCGACTTGGTTTCTCTCTTTGCCAGATCCCAACCAGTATAGCTGGGGAGAGAACTATGCGGGCAGCTCCGGCCTGATGAGCTCATCCCCCGAGCTCTGCCCGGCACAGCGGGCGCGCAGCGGCACTGTGAGTAGGGGCCCTGTGCCGCGGGGTGTGTGTTTTGGGGCAGGTGCCTGCAGCCACAAAGCTGCCGCTGGGGCCTCTCACGTGCTCCTGAGAGAAGCCCCTGCGCCGCTGTGGCTGGGCTAATGGGTGCTTTCTTCTGGCCCAGACTTTTAAAGTCTAGTCACAGACGTGGGGACTTCACCTGAGGGCAGAGTAAGACACCATGGCTGCCTTTCCTCGCCCTGTTTGCAAACCCACCTCTCAGTTCAGCAGGAACCTGGAGACCACTCTGTGCGGCCTCCTGTTTGCGTAGAGAAGCAGAAGTTCAGAGAGGACCAGGGGCCTCCCCCAGGCTATGTGGCAGAACCCGGACCGAAACCTGGTTAGTCCCAGGAGCCAAACCCAGGGCTTCCCCTCAGGCAGTGTGTTTTGGCTGACAGTTTCAGGGTGGTGACAAAACATACACAACGTCCGCCCTCCTAGGATGGTTCTGGCCCATGCCTTGAATCCCCATTTGGGACAAGGCCAGCTTGACTAGATGGTACCCTCCCCGTCCCTGCAACCTGTTGAGTGGAGTGGAGTGCTGTGTGTCCCCAAATGGGGGAAGCCATCGAGACAGTTAATGTAAACGACTGTGTCCCCTTTCCCTCATCAGATTGAAAGCATAGCCACAGTTTCTGTGTTAGCTATGTGGTCTTGTGGGTGCATCTTGGAGGCGGGTCCTCCCTGGTGGGATGGGCCTCAGTGTCAGACAACTGCTGGCTCAGGGTCACACCTGCATCTCCACCCTGGCCATTTGCAGTAGAAGTGCTCCTGGCAGAGGAGAAGGGCTGAGTCCCAGGTGTGTGACGCAGTGGCTGGTCACCAAAAGGCAGCGAGAAGTGGCCTGGCAGGGGCAGGCCTCCACGGCAGCAGGTGCTTAGTTAATATTTTGCACCAAGAGCCAAGTGTCTGTTTGCACATCTTGGTTTACCTCTTTCCCATGTAAAACAAAACAAGCCAACTGGGCATGTTACTGTCCACCCAAAAATGCTGCATGTCTCGTGTGTGCTCGCCATTGGCGCTATCAGGGTGTGTCGGTTTGTAGGGTAGACCAGTCCTTTGTTGCTGGGGAGGTGGATTTTGAACACTCCAATGTGGTTGCAAAGGCTCGGACGTGCTTGGAGGGAGGGTGGGGGGCAGTGATGGGGGACTGAGGAGTGAGTGCCTGTAGGGGCGGGGGGTGTGGTGGCTGTGCCCAGCTGACAGTGCACAGGACCCAAAGGAGTCGGCAGAGTAGGTTGTAAAAACAGTGCAAGGCCTGGGCCAGAGAAGGGGCGTACTGAGGCCCAGGACCTCGGCCCCGTGTTGGGGACTCTGGGTTGGGGGACACAGCCCAAGCTAGAGTGGGAGTGGTCAGCAGGACCAGCTCCTGGATCACAGGGGCCTACAGGCCTCAGTGGGAGAACAGTGAAAGGGGACAGGGCAGGGGAGAGAGGGAGCCTGGGTCTGTCGGTAGGCATCTCAGGCTGCTGTGCAGATAGAAACCAGGTAGGGCTGCAGTGGCTGCTGGGAGGCCAGCAGCAATGACGGTGGAGGAGGAGGTGGCGTAAGCAAACCTGAGATCTGGCAAAAGACCAGCCTAACTTGCCAAACCGGGTGACAAGTCCCAGGTGTTTGGCTTGGGCAACCGGGCACCCGGAGGAGGGAGATGCAGGTGTCGATAAGGTGGCCACGTCAACCTCCAGCGTGCTAGGGTTAAGGTTTGGGAGACATCCACATAGGACCCTGGTGGGTGATGGGTGTCACATTGCAGCCCAGGGACATTGAGAAAAGTGCTGTCTGCTCGCTGGATTCAGCTTCAGTCTGGCCTTGTCTGTTCTTACAGGGAATAGCTGATTCCAAAACCTGCAAATGAATGTTTTGGTGAAGGAAGTCAGAACAAGAGGACACATAGTGTGTGATCCCCGTATATGGAGTGTCTAGAACAGGCATTTGCACAGAGGCGGGAAGCAGATTAGTAGTTTTCAGGAGCTGGGGGACTGGGTGGCTGGCTGGAGGGGCGGGGGGATAAGAAAGGTTTGGAAACAGATGATGATCGCGGTTGCACAGCATGGTGAGTGTCATTAATGCCACTGGATTGTCCACTTAAAAAAGGATAAAATGGCAGATTTTATGTTACATATATAGTTCGCCACAATAAAATTTAAGGAAAGAAAAGAATACTTTGATCTTGTGGAAAAAAGGCTGCCACTGTTTCTGCCCCCCTCTCTGCCAGTTCGACCTGCTGGAGATGGACCGGCTGGCGCGGCCGCTGGTGGACCTGCCACTCCTCCTGGACCCGTCCTCCTACGTCCCTGACACTGTAGACCTAACTGAGGACCCCATGGCCCGCAAGTACTGGCTCAGCTGCTTTGAGGAGGCGCTTGATGGGGTGAGGGCTCTGGACGCAAAGGGATGGATCCCATGGGAAGAACATGCTTGGAAAGAGCAAGGAAGACATGGGTTGTCTTGGAAAATGTTGTCTCTTCTTTTTGTGGCTCTTTTCCTTGAGCATGTCTCTTCTGTGGACAGTTTTCTGCCTTTGTCCATTGTGGTGGGCCTGAAGCCACAGTGGTGTGGCCGAGGGCAGGCAAGCTCTTCAGGGGCCGCGGGGTATGGCAGGCAAGCTCCCTGGACACCGTGTGGTAGCTTCCATGCACACAGGGCTGGCTTGCATTTCTCAAGAGGAAGATGTGGCTCCAGTAGCTGTTGGGTCAGCAAGTCAGGATGTGATACTAGTGGGCATGCTTTTCATAAGTACTCCAAGTACTATTGCTAGTTATGACATCTCTTCAAAAAGCCAGCAATCAGGCAGACCTCGCCACTTGAGGTATGTGGCCAAGTATACCTGCCGGGGGCTGTTGGAGGCTGTTCAGATCGGGGGCTGCTTGCTTGGCCCCTTTCCGCCTCCCCCACCCGCCAGCATGTGCTGTGCTTTGGGAGAAGCCACTCCAGCTTGAGCCTCTCCCCACCTTTCCGAGGATGGGGCCGTGTCCTGTGGGAACAGGTGGGGCCAAGTCCTGAGCTTATGGCCACCCCATGAGATGCTCAGAGCTGCTAGATTCTGGAATATCTGTTTCTTCCCAAAGCCCTCGGCGGGGCCCTCGAGTTCTCATGAGTCTGCATCATTGGTGGTCCAGCCTTCCCAGGACCTCGGGCTCTCCCGTGCTTGGAGGGCTCTGGGCACAGCTACAACTGCCCCGCAGCCAGAAGCAGGGTTCCTGGGCCTGACAGCATGGGTTGAGCTGTGGGTCAAGCTGTGGGTCTCGAGGTTAAGTCAGGATGAATGATGATCTGCCCTCTCCTCCTCTTCTGGAGTTGGATGCCCAGAGGCAGAGGGGAAGTGCCCTGTGATCGGGGCTGGGTGGACGTGCTGTCACCCTGAGCACGTGCCCAGTCTGCCACTTGCTCCTGGGGCTGCTCTGAGTGCTGGCCCAGCCCAAGCCCCACAGGCCACGCCGGGTGTGTCTGGGCCCTGGCAAATCCACCACCGGCACCCTTCAACACGTTCACACCCCGTGCGGGGCCCCTGCTGGCTGGGCAAATGCTTTGCTCCCCTCCCGGAGCAGGCCGGGGCCTCTGCCGACTGTGTGCCATTGCCAGGTGGTGAAGCGTGCTGTGGCCAGCCAGCCAGATTCCATCGATGCTGCTGAGAGGGCCGAGAAGTTTCGGCAGAAGTACTGGAACAAGCTTCAGACTCTGAGACACCAGCCATTGTGAGTCACTCTGCCTCAGCCTCTTCTGGTGCTGGGAGGCCTGTCACCTCCCCACAGGGCGCTTTAGGGGCCCCAGCAGGATCCCCTGGTGCTGTGGGCTGGGCCATGGCCTGTCATGACCATTGTCTCTGAAGGTACTCAGGACTCCCAGGCACTCTGGCCGGGTTGTGGCCTTAAGTGACTGCTGTCTCTGTGGGCACATACCCTGCTGTCCTGGATCTTTAGGCCAGTGATGTGGGGCGGACCAAGGAAGACAGGCATCTCTGAAAGCACATTCCTGAAGGTGGCCCGCTGGTTCATGTGCCCACACCTGCTGCCAGGTTCTGCTGGGGCCACTCCTTGGTCGTCTGAAGCTGCAGCCGTCCTCTCGCCTCCCTAGCTTAGGCGCACAGGGATGAGGCGAGCACAGAGGGCAGGCCACCCCGGGTGCTCAGGTTGCACGTGGCCATGTACCCACAAGGGGCCCCAGTAGAGCCAGCCCTGTTGAGCGTCTCTGGCGTGGTCTGTCCACAGTGCCTACGGGACTCTGACTGTGCGCAGCTTGTTGGACACAAGAGAGCATTGTTTGAATGAGTTCAACTTCCCGGACCCCTACTCAAAAGTGAGTCCCGCCCGTTCTCCAGGTGAATGGTTGCGTGGGTGGGCGGCCCTGCTGTGTGATCTCAAATGCGCTGCCCTGGTGGGTGCAGGGGGCCAGTGACTGCACTGCAGTGGGGGGTCAGTCAGCACCATCACCGTGTGGGACGGCTCCCGTGGGTACAAGGTGAGTGGCACTGGGCCCCTCTGCTGGCAACATCTGCCAGGGAGCTGCAGGCTGGGGGTGCATAGGGCTTCCCTGTATGTGACCTAGAGACATCATGGGGACTCTGCACCAAAGACAGCCAGTCAGGGCAGCTGTGTGAGCGAGGCAGGAACGTGCCATGGGGCCCAGGGACACTAACTGGGTGTCTGCTTTACCTGAGCTGTTACCTGAGAGGTGCAGAAAGGCCTGTGCGAGAAAGCAGAGTTTATCTTGGGGTCTGAGACAGAGCGGCCGCCAGAGGGAGAAGACACATGGCGTGGGTCTGCATAGTTGCTACTTGGGGCCTCCGCTGCACCTCCCACACGACTGGGGCCATTGGAGCTGCCTCATGGGCACTGAGCTACAGAGCTGGAGGTGTCGGTCCTGCTGCCCGGCATCTGAGCTAGGAGGTAACCTGGAAGCAGCCGCTTTCCTCCTGTGGCCACACCCACAAGGAGGCTGTGCCATGGGGCATGCTCCTGTGACCCCGCCTGACCCTGCATAGTGCCTGGGCTGCCGTGAGGTCCCTGTTCTCCTCTCCTTCCTGCCCACCCCCACCTGTGGGCTGCGCCCCTACAGGCCTGGCCTTCTGTGCACAGTGGCGTATGTACATGTTGGCACACCTCCTATCTTCCAGGGTCCTCAGAGCCAGACTTTCCTTTTAACTTGACATGATGCTGACACATCCAGCTGCATCTGTGAACTCCTTGTGTAGCCGTGGCAGGTTCTCTCCCATGGAGTGGGCTCAGGTTTCTCCACAGCGTCCTCAGCCAAGCATCTTTCCTGGACTGCGCTGGCAGAGGAAGCAGTCAGGGGAGAGCGTGATCTCACCCATAACCCTGCTCATGTCTTCGCAGGTGAAGCAGAAGGAAAATGGCGTGGCACTGAAATGCTTCCAGCAGGTCGTCCGGTCACTGGACGCGCTGGGCTGGGAAGAGAGGCAGCTGGCACTGGTGGAAGGACTCCTGGCAGGGAATGTCTTTGACTGGGGCGCAAAGGCCGTCTCCGAGTAGGTGCCCTGCGTTCCAGTGAGCTGCAGAGGCCCACCCTTCCCGTAATGTTCATGGCTCCTGGGCGCAGCGTCGGCATCATCCAGTAGCTTGTCTGTTCCACACGCACACATACATGTGCACATTGCTTCTGTGCTTGGCAGCCCTGGCAAGGTCACCCTTGCATCACCCCAGCCCTGTGCCCTGGTGGCCCGGCTTTGCCCTGGGGTGGGGAGAGTGGGGGAGGCCTTGATGGGGTTGCCCAGCACTTGGTGGACTGGGTGCTGCTTGGGGCTCTGGCTGGACCTGGGCCTCAGTGAGGGTTGGTGTCCCCATTGGCTAGTGGGCCAGGTATGCCTTGCACCCTCGAGGAGCCCTGAAGAGCCCAGCCTTATCCCTCCCACCCTCAAAGAAAGAGACTTGGGGCCGGGTTTCAGTGGTAAAAGTGTAATCCGCATCTGCCACATACACTGGGAATTGCATTGGAGAAAAGGGGTACACACAGAGGCTTTCACCGGCTCGGTCCGTGGGACTGCGTGTGTTCCTCGCCCACTGAGTATGCCCTCCTGGAACTAGCCTGTGGGTGTCTCCAAAAGGAAGCACTGATTGTGATGACTGTACGTTTCCACAGTAGCCATCTTAACCACTGAGAAAGTCATGCTCCTCTTCCCGGGCATCACTGGTGGGCTCTGCCTCACCCTGGCCCATGGCGCCATGTGGTGGTGAAGCCACAGGGAGCTGGTGTGGGCTGCTCGGTTCCAGGCCCACCACCCAGGGGCACAGGGGACTGGGACCCAGGAGAGCCGCCCACTCCCTGGCTGGCGTAGACCCTATGTCCTACTCAAATAACCAGCTCATCGGGCGGAAGGCCCCGTAGCATGTCTGGTTCATGCCCCCTCCCCCCCAACCCCTGTCCTATGGTGGCGTCCCAGGTTGAGGCTCTCATTGGTCCCGGGCCAGCAAGGAGGGAGGGGGCCTGCTATGACTGCCTAGTCCTGACTGGCCCTGGGCACCATCCTCTTTCTTGAGGAAATTTTTTAATTCAGCTGAAGGAACACATTATGTGCTTCTTTTAAGACACTTGGTCGGCAGACCTCTGAGCTTTTTCTGAACAAGTGGAAGCAGTAATATGAACGGCATGTTGATAATGGTACATTCGTTCAGCTCGTGAAATGCCGTATTTGAGGTTTCTGCACTCAGCAGTGTAGACTCAAGTTTTGTTTTGTTCTGTTTTTTTAACTTTCTTTTTTCCTGCTCCACACAGCGTTCTTGAATCAGACCCACAGTTTGGATTTGAGGAAGCTAAGAGGAAGTTACAAGGTATGGACACCCACAAATCCAGAGCCGGTGCAGGTTAGCCAATGTCCACTACGTGTGGAGAGAGTTATGAGGACAAGGCAGGCTGGGCACATGGGCCGTTCTCTGGGTACAGCTTCACCCCTAGATTCAAGGGGTGGAGAAATGAGTGAAGACAGACGACTCCCTTTAACTGTGCTCACAACCTTGGGCCTGACTAGGGGCTGACAGGCTGACTAGGCTGATGTGGACTGGGGGCCGACTGGGTTGATGTGGGCTGACAGGCTAACTAGGGGTTGATTGGGGCTAATGTGGGCTGACTGGGCTAATGGGCTGACTGGGGACTGAGTGCTGACTGGGGGCTGACTGAGACTAACTGGGCTGATGTGGGCTGACGGGCTGAGTCCTGGCTAGGGTCTGACAGGCTGACTGGGCTGATGTGGGCTGACGGGCTGAGTGTGCTGGCTGGGGTCTGACTGAGGCTGACTGGGGGCCGACTGAGTTGATGTGGGCTGACGGACTGACTAGGGGCTGACTGGGCTAACAGGTTAACTAGGGGCTGACTGGGGACTAATGGGGGCTGACTGGGGCTGATGTGGGCTGACTGGGGCTGATGTGGGCTGACTGGGGCTGATATGTGCTGATGTGGGCTGACTGGGGCTGATGTGGGCTGATGTGGGCTGATGGGCTGACTGGAGACTTGAGTGCTGACTGGGGGCTGACTGAGGCTAACTGGGCTGATGTGGGCTGACGGGCTGAGTGTGCTGGCTTGGGTCTGACAGGCTGACTGGGCTGATGTGGGCTGACAGGCTGAGTGTGCTGGCTGGGGTCTGACTGAGGCTGGGGACTGACTGGGGCCTGACTGAGTTGATGCGGGCTGACAGACTGACTAGGGGCTGACTGGGCTAACAGGTTAACTAGAGACTGACTAAGGGCTGACTGGGGGCTAATGGGGGCTGACTGGGGCTGATGTGGGCTGACTGAGGCTGATGTGGGCTGATATGGGCTGACTGGGGCTGATGTGGGCTGACTGGGGCTGATGTGAGCTGACTGAGGCTGATGTGGGCTGACTGAGGCTGATGTGGGCTGATATGGGCTGACTGGGGCTGATGTGGGCTGACTGGGGCTGATGTGAGCTGACTGAGGCTGATGTGGGCTGACTGAGGCTGATGTGGGCTGATATGGGCTGACTGGGGCTGATGTGGGCTGACTGGGGCTGATGTGAGCTGACTGAAGCTGATGTGGGCTGACTGAGGCTGATGTGGGCTGACTAGGGCTTACTGGGCTGATGTGGGCTGACTGTGGGTCTCTTCTCTCTTCCCAGAGCGGCCTTGGCTTGTGGACTCCTACAATGATTGGCTCCAGAGGCTAAAGGTATGTGGAGGTGCCTTCCCTGCCTCTGCCTTTCGGACACCAGGAATGGAATGGGAGTGCTAGGAACAGGTTGGAACTGGGAGTCAGACCAGATCAGAGCAGGGGACAGGGAAATGGGGTGTGGGGCCACCTCTGGGAGCAGAGAGGGACCCTGGGCAGCTGGTCAGGATCCCGGCAGGGCATGAAGGGGCCTCTTCTCTTCAAATCGCATTGCTCCCCCATCTGTGAGTCTAATCTAGGACATTCTCAGCTCTGTGCCTGACCTTGTCGTGAGCACTTGTTATTAGACCAGTTGACCTCAATACTAAGGTCACTTGGGCCAGCAGGCAACACCGTCCCCAGTGCCCAGACTTTGTGGGGTTGGACGTGGGTGTATCTGGAACGCTTGGATTCACCTGTCCCCAACTGAACACCCTGGTTTTGTCTTGCAGGGGCCCCCTCATAAATGTGCCTTAATTTTCGCAGATAACAGTGGAGTAGACATCATTTTGGGAGTCTTCCCCTTTGTCAGGGAGCTACTCTTTAGAGGGACCGAGGTGAGTGACAAGGCCATGTGTGGGCTGGGGGCCTTCCGGGGTGTCTCTGGGTCAGTGGGGATGGTGCCATTTGTGGGCTTTGGCGGCAGCGGCCAGAACTCGTCCTCACGTGGAATGTAGGTGAGGTCGAGGGGCGCCAGGGAGCAAGCCTCCACTGGGAGGGATGCCTGAATTGCCATGCCACAGGCCAGGATCAACATGCATAAGCCTGGGACATGATGCCCCAGTTCTCCACAGTCAGAGAGATGCTCTTGGGGCCAGATCTCCATGTTGGCCGTGTGGTAGGGTTGGAGGGATCCACATGGCAGGCTCTGAGTACCTCCGGAGGCCATAGGGTGGTGTGAGTGAGGGTAGTCAGGGGCCTATCCCTAGCAGGGTAGCGCTAGCTTTGGTGGGCACTGCCAGTCACCTTGTTAAAATGTAGAGGGGCCTTCAAGAGCCTCGGGGGGGCACAGGGCATTGGCCCTGCAAAGGGCCCTAAGTTCCTCGGGCCTTCCCTGCTGCAGGTTATCCTGGCATGCAACTCAGGGCCTGCCCTGAATGACGTGACCTACAGTGAGTCTCTCATTGTGGCTGAGCGGATAGCTGCCATGGACCCCATCATCCAGTGAGTGCAGGGTTGTGTGTGTGAGTGTGTGTGTAGAAAGTGGGGCCCTGGGGGCTGGTGGTGGGGCAGACGCTCCTAAAAAGGGGTAGGGGATGCCAGACCGGTTGTTGGAAGATGTGGGGCGGGTGGGGGAGTAGGCGAAGAAAGGTGGGCGGTACCAGTGGGCAGAGCTTCCTGAAGTGGGTGGGGTTCCCTGAGGTAGGCGGGGCAGCATTAAGGCTCCACCCTCACAGATTCTGACTGTCTTATGCTCTGGCAGCTCTGCGCTTGGAGAAGAGAGGCTGCTGCTGGTGCAGACCGGCTCCAGCTCCCCGTGCCTCGATCTCAGGTAACCTGGCAGGCAGGTGGCACCGTTGTGCCCTCCCAGGGTCCTTCCTGGGTTCCCTCCGGGATCCAGTGTGTACCGTGAGATGACAGGAGTCAGTGCCTGCCCCAAGGGAGCTCCCCGCCCCCTCCTAACCCCTGACCTTAGACCTCCTCTGCTTCCTCGGGCCTGTGGAGGGTGGGCAGGTCTGAGTCTGTGCGCTAGGTGTGACTTGCTCTGGCAGGAGGGACATGGACACCCCTGGGCCGAACATGTCTGCTTGTGGAACTCAGGGCCCCGCCTGGCCTCTCAGGCCTTGGTGTCCCTGTCCATAGATGGGCCCACGGTGGTGAGGACTGAGTGAGCAACTCCACCTCCCAGTGACCCACTAGCCAGGTTACTTTTAGTGCCTCAGTCCCTAGTGGTCCTAGAAATGGAAGCACTGGTAGCTTAGAGAACACTCCCGCAAGAGGGAAAGTCTTATCTGGGGCACTTAGTCATCCGGTCTCTTTTGGTAGCGATTCTCCAATGTTTATTTACCCCTTTTTCTCCGATGTTTATTTTCCCACTGCTAGCCAATGAGGAAGGATGGTGAAACGCCTTATGAAAAGGAATAGAATCTTTTAAAGTTAAAAAAAGGTGGGGGGAGGGGACGGTGGTTACTGCAGCAGTGTTCAGAACTGGGCGCGCAGCCTGCGTAAGGAAGTGCTGGTGCTGGTGGTTTACCTGAGCCCACAGGAGGCTCAGGGCTGGTAAGAGCAGTCTGGACTCACAGCACCGCGTAGTTAACCATGTTGATTGGTGGGGTTTTCCAGGCACTCTCTCATCTATCACACTTTGTGAGATGCGGGGGGGTGTCCATACTGGTACCTACCTCACGGACCCCCTTCTTCCCCAAAGCCGCCTGGACAAGGGGCTGGCTGCGCTGGTGCGGGAGCGTGGCGCCGACCTGGTGGTCATCGAGGGCATGGGCCGCGCTGTCCATACCAACTACCACGCCACGCTGCGCTGCGAGAGCCTCAAGCTGGCCGTCATCAAGAACTCATGGCTGGCGGACCGGCTCGGAGGCCAGCTCTTCAGCGTCATCTTCAAGTACGAGGTCCCAACCGAGTGAGGGCCGCGCCCGCCATGCAGACCAGCGTCGGCCTCCTTGTCCTCGTAGAGAATGTGTTTTTACCACCACGGGGAGACTGCAGCCGTCAGAGCCCGTGTTTAATTGTGCTTCTGTGACGCAGCGCCAAGGGAGCCCGTGCCCACAGCCAGCAGCGGTGCACCGCATCACCGTGGCACTTGCGTGATGCGTGTTTCTTTTCATGCTGTGTGTTTGTGATGGGAGACTCACCTGTTGTCCTGTGAGACACTCGTGTTGGAGTATATTTAACTGTTAAATAATCTTTTATATATATATATATATAAAAATATATACATATATATCTTTGACAGGACGCCAGCGGGCTCAGGCACACACCAAATAGAGTTTTTAAAGAGTGAAACCAGGTGGCCTGTGTATCTACTGTCTTGTTGAAGAAGCATGTCCAGGCAGGGGAAGCCCGAAGTGAGGACTTTCTCTGCAGTTACTTCTGGAACTTTCTTAGCCCGAGGACCCCCGTTCCCCACCATGCTGTCAGCCCCTGGGCCCTCTGCAGTGGTGTTCCCAGGGCTGGCCTCAGCCGCTGTCACCTGGTTTTCCACACACCACTTACCCTGGCCTTGGGGGCTCAGAGAGGGGGCCGCCCTGAGCAGTGCATTGGGCCACGTGTGTGCCTCCGTGTCCATCCCTGGCCCTCTGTGCCATTCCCATGGCAGAGACATGTGAAGCCTTTGCACGCACACCTGGCTCAAAAGCCTCCGAGAGGATGCGTCGACCACTTTCTTGGGGTGGAGATGGCAGCTGAGGGTTGCAAGCTGAGCACTCTGTGGGTTTCTCCCCGACTGCTCCTGAACTTAGGCAGTCACGAGGTCCTCCCAGCTGGACTGACCTCCCTGGGGTGCGGGGAACAGGAAACCAGGTGTGACCTGCCACTGCAAGAGTGGGGTCATGTGCCAGGCTGGAGGTGACTAGGGTGAGAGGAGGTGTTTTCTGGAGAGGGAGAGAGCATGAACCCAGAGCTCTTACCCTCAGATCTTGATGGGGCTGGGGGCTGCCCAGTGGGACCCGTGGTGGGGCACTCTGCCACAGAGTATATAGTACTGTGGCCCTGCAAAGAGGGTGCATGTGGACTTTTCCTGGCCCTGAGCTGCTGGACGGGATTTCTACAGAGGCCAAGCCACTGCAGCTCCTCCAAGGCCTGCTTGTCTTCAGGAAGCAGAGGAGCTGGGAAGGGACAGGCCCAGGTGGCAGTCGTGGCCATGGTCTCCAATGAGGACTCCAGCGCTGGCCCTGCTTTTGGGCCAGGGAAGCCGACAACCTGCACCCCTGCCAAGTGGCTCTACTCAGCAGTCCGGGAACCTGCACAACCCACCCCAGTCCTGAGACGCCGTCCGCCCCGCCCCTCCGTGTGGGGCTAGGCCTGGTCCTCACGGTGCCCTGCACAACAGGAGGCATCGTCAGTCCAGTGCTGTGAACAATGACGCCCTGTGGGCCAAGGGTGAGGCTGAGTTCCCAGCATCTCTGCCCCTGGCTCCATGTGGAACAGCCGCTCCCCAGCTGGGCGATTTCTTGGTCTGTCCCTCCTGACACAGCTGGTCAAGTGCCTATGGATGCCTCTGTACAGAACCACTGCCACATTGTGCCTGGCCATCTGCAAGTGGCCAGAGCCTGGGCCAGCCGGTGGCAGTGACTTCGAGCAGGCAGGCTGGCTCACAGAGCCAGCAGAGCCTGGCTGAAGACCACCACCAGGTGGCAGCAGGAGCCAACCAGGCCTGGGCTGCAGCTGCCCTCCGGGTCCCTCCTGGGTGACCCAGAACCAGAGCAGCGGCTATGGGCTAGGTCAGCCCACCTAGTGGTGGCAGTGGTCAGTTCCTGTCCTCTGTGGCCAGGGCAGCAGCAGAGAACTTGCCCTGGGTCTTCAGAGCAGAGACCCCCCCAGCCACATCCCCTGCCCAGCTCCCCTCCCAGCCTGGTGGCCCCCCTAGACTAGACCTGCCAGTGCCACCTTCCTGCTCCAGCCTGTGAGCCTGACCCCTCCCAGCTGCACTGGACCCAGCCTTGGGGCCCGTGGACAGTAAAGCCTTTCCTAGCCTGCACACCTGGGGAGCTCAGCCCCATATACCCTCGTCTGGGAGGCCTCCCTGACCATCCTCAGCCCCGGGCTGCCCTCTGCTCCTGAGCTCACCTGCAGGTGTCAGTCTTGTGGCCCCGACCCCCTGTGGAGGACAAGCTGCCCCCTTGGCTGTGCTGCACAAAAAGGGGCCCTGCCAGGTGCCCCAGGGGGCTAGGGGAGATGCCTGGGCTGGGGCAGAGTTGAGCATTGCCCCACCCGAGAGTGCCCAGGGCCCCATGGGGAGGGAGAGCTCTGACCTCGGGCTCTCACTGCATGCTCACCAATGCAGAGTCTCCCGCCCATACATGCCCTGCCCTGGAGGACCCCTTCTGTCCGGGGAGGGAGCTGGGCTGCTGAACCAGGTACCCCGTGTACCCTCACCCAGGCTGTCCTGGCCCCCAGCCTCCCCAGAGCTGTCCAGTTTCTCAGCCTCCTGGGGGAGAACAGCTCCTGGAGCATAACCATGGGAGTAGGGGCTCCAGCACACCCTGCTTCCCTCTGCCCCACCCAGGGTGCTTTTGGCCTTGGGTCAAGGCTCTGCCCTTTGAGGAGTGGGAGGGTACTGGACTCGGGTCACATCCCTAGTGGAGGGTGTATGTGGGGTTCCCCCTTCCCCAGGAGCCTGCCCAGCAGTAGGAGCAGGAGTAAGGGGACGCGCCAGCAGCACCCCTGAGACAACATCGCCAAGCGAGAATGCGTTTATTAGAGTCGTGTTCCAGAGTTTACATAGGGTCTTTAAAATGTCCCAGTATGGAGAACGGAGGTCAGAACAGGCCAAACGCAGAGTCAGGCAGGATGCCGGCAATCCAAGTAGCTCTGGGCACATGGCCTACACCCTGGGAGGCAGACCACTTGAGAGCACGGCTCCCCAACACAGTGGCGCACGCTCACACCCACAGGCTAGAAGCCCAGGTAAAAAAATGGAAAAGGACTTCGGTATAATTTTAGCGTTGGACAAGTTTTGTCTCTAAAAATTTAAATACTTCTCTGTATATATCTTAAAACAGTGACAGCCTCAGCCCCTTCCTCCCTCAGGGGTAGAGGTCACAGGGTGGTGACCAAAGCAGAGGGGCACAGCCCCAGCCAGCATGGCCACCCGGGCATAGCCAGCCACTGGTGCACTCAGCATACGGGCCAGCTCTGGGGACCTGTGACAGATGCCTTGTTTCCTGAGCAAACACAACGGCTTCCCGCTCAGGCCTGGAGGACGAAGGCAGGCTGGGGCAGTGGTCAGAGTCTGAGTAAGAGGGGGCTGGCAGCGGCCCCGAATGCCTGGCCAGGGGCTCCCTTGGTGGGGGCCGGCGCGTCCATGCAGCCCTCGCGACCCACGGAGCAGGCACCTTCAGGGGTGCCGCGCTCCTCCGGGGGTCCTGGCGCACCCAGGCCCTGCAGCCGCTGCTGCCGCTCCTGGGCCTGGCGAGCGCGGCTGGCGATGGCACGCACCCGGCTCTGGCTTCGGGAGGAGGAGCGCCGCAGGAAGCCAGGCGCCCCCACCACCACTGTGCCCTCCCCGGCTGGGCCCAGGCTGGTGGGGGAGGTGATGTCTCCTGCCTGCTGGAAGCCTGTGAGCCAGCGCAGCTGCTCCGTCAGGGAGTCCAGCCGTGGCTCGCCCTGGGGGCCCAGGCCTCGGCCTGGGCTGCGGGACCTGCTCTCGAAGCTGGGCGCAAAGTCATCGGCAGTCAAGTCCCCCAGACTCTTGGACTTGGCAGCCGCAGGGCAGTCCTGGAGGCCCACCAGGGAGAGATGGCCCCAGGGTGGCCAGGGGCAGGAACCGGGTGGGTACCTGTGCGGCCGCGGGGCCAGGGGCCGGGGTCGCAGCTCGTCGGGCGCAGAGGGCAGCTGGCCCGCGACCCGCAAGTTGGGGTTGGACTTGCTCTTGGTCACGGGGGGCAGGCCTGGGCAGGTGGAGCAGGGCAGAGGGGGCAGGCAGCTGGGTGGGGCCCCGGCCAGGCTCTCTCGGCTGCGGCCCAGGCCCAGGCTAGGCAGGGAGAGGTCGATGACGGTGTCACTGGACGACATGCTTGAGGATGAGGACAGGCTGTCGCAGTGGCTGCTGGGCTCCAGACGCTGCCACAGCCGGTCGCCGCTCGTGGCGTCCGAGTATACGGCAGGGGTAGGGGAGGGCCCAGCCAGGGGCCACCGCCTGCCCAGCGGCTCTGCAAGCACCTGCCCCTCGCTCTTAGCCCTTCTGACCAGGGGTAGCTGGCCCGGAGCCCGGAGCTGACCCTTGCAGCCCACCTGGCTGCCAGCGGCCCCCTCAGCCGGCCCCCCAGGGCCCTCACCATGGCACACCCACAGCCTGCTGTCAGGGGGCACCTCAGTGTCCCTGTGACCACCAGTCCTGAGCTGAGAGGGCCCAGAAGCTCCCAGGGCTGCTCCTGGGGGGCCTGCTGCCTTGGTGCCAGGTCCTGTGAAGTTCTTGGGCCCTTCCGGTGAGGTGCTGGCAGGAGTGGCCAGCGGCAGTGGGGGACCTGGGGCCGGCTCCTCGGCTATGGTCTCCAGGCCACACAGGGAGGAGACAGACCTCTGCATGGACAGGGGGCGGGCGTCTGGAGGGAGAGAGAGGGGTGTCAGTAGGCACCCCAGGCCCCCGTGCCAAGGGAGAGGGACCAGGACCCTGGGGCCCCCAGTGGCCAGGCCCTCCATCTGCACACATGGGCGCCCAGCATGCCCCTCATCCCAGCCACCCTCCAGAGCTGGGAGAGCAGACGGGCCACGGGGCCACAGCACAGTGCCGACCCATGGGTCTTCAGGGCAGGGCACACACATGGCACACAGGGCGGCCGGCCCATTACCTGGCGCTCGGCCGCTGTCAGTTCCTAACTACGGAGGCAGCATGGGGGCAGGGACAGAAAGGAGAAGATGGTCAGAGGGGGTGGGAGTGAGGTGGCTGGCAGATGGACAGACTGATAGCAAGGCGAGGCAGGTGCAAGGCGGGAGCTTGAAGGAGGGAGGGAGGGAGGGCCAGCTTCCCCTGCCCCCAGGCTGGCTCTCCAACAGCTCACAGCCTGTGACCTTGCCCTGCTGTGGACCCGCAGCACTCAGTACTGCTGCAGGCAGCACTGTAGGACCCATCTGGAAGGGCCTCTGGGTTGGACACTCGTTGCATGTCGGGCCGAGAGAGCTCAGGCCAAGCCACGTGGAATCAACTCCATCAGCACTCTGAGTGCCATCCGGAGGGCTCTGGGCCACCGGTGGCAGGGTTGGGGCTGGCCCTTGACGCATCAGACTTGGGGAGTGACTGTGGCCAGCAGCTGCGGGGGTGGGGGACTGAAGCTGACTGAGGTTCAGGAAGGGTGTCAGGAGCATCGGAGCCCCCCGGTCTCCTATGAGCTCCTATGATGAGGGCCCAGCTGGGAGGGCTGGGTGTGCACTGGGCTGGATGTGGCCCTCAGCAAATGCTGCCCACAGGCCCTCGCCTGGACCCACCTTATCAGGGGTGGGAGACATGCTGCCCAGCCCCCTTACCCCCACCCCTGGGCTCCAGGAGCACCAGGGCCGCTCAGGTCAGATGGGAGGGTCAGAAGGGACAGCTGGGGTTGAGGGGGCAGGTGAGACTAGCCGATGGAGCACAGTGAAATGAAAGCGGATGGCAGGCCGAGGGTGGAGGTTGACAGCGGCAGAGCTAGGCCATGCCAAGAGCAGGGACACGGGAAGGCCCAGCGGGGCCAGCCTTACCAGCTGAGAACATGGGAGATTTACTCCTAATCTCCTCCAGTTTTTGAACAAACAGGGCGTTCATCTCCCGCTGCAGGACCCCCGGTGGCCTGCGGGCACCCCCAGGCCAGCAGGGGGTATCCTCGGGGCTGCCACGGCTGTCCGGGCTGCTGGAGTCCGAGGACACGGAGCCACCACCACCCGGCTGCTGCCGTTGGGCCCCACGGCCCTCAGAGGACTCTCTGCTTTTTCCCAGCTTGGCCACAGTGGCTTGTGGGCCCAGGCTGCCACGGGGGGCCCCTAGTGCATCTGGCCGGGCCTGGGGCTGCTGGCTGATGGCCGAGTGGGTGTCCACAGGCCCCGGGCTGGGTGGCTGCTCCCTGAGCAGGCCCTCAGTGTCCACGCCAGCACAGGAGGCCACCATGCACTTCATGCACGTGGCGGCCATGCCCACAGGCCCAGTGCCCTCAGGGACATGCTGGGGCGGCACTGGGGCTGGGCTCCTTGCCGCTGCAGCCACTGTGGGTGCCAGCACCTTACCTCGGGGGCTGGTGCTGCTGGGCCCCTCGTGGGGTGGGGCTCCTGGGGCGGGGCTGGGGCTGGGGGGCGCCACTGCCTCAGCTGCCCCCTCGGAGCCCCCGTCCTGTGTGCTGACAACCAGCTCTGGGAAGCCCTTTCGGCCTGGCTTGTGGCTCTTGGTGGGGGCGCTGGCCGTGCGCCGCAGGAGCCGCTGGCTAACGGAGGGCCGGGGCGGCGGCCGCCCAGCAGCATGACTGTCCAGCGAGCCGGGCTTTGGGCCGCGGAGAAACAGGCCTTTTAGGCCCAGAGCCTGTTTGACCTGCAAGAGAAAGGACCCAGCATCGGTGGCGGCTGGGAACCGCCTACCCTTGGCACTGGCGGTCGTGGGCAGGAGGGGCCATGGACAGCTCTAGACTGCGACCACCTGGGCCGAGCCAGGCTGGCTGGGGTGGAGGTAGGTCCCCAGGCGTACAGCAGGTGGGGCCTTGAGGGGCGGGGGAAACAGAGACTTGGAACATGAGATCCAGCACCCACCACACACTGCACCCCTCGAGGCCCACAGCCCCCAACTCTGCCAGGGGTGCTGGTGTGGAGAGAAAGACATCAGAGCTAGGACTCCAAGGGACTCCTGCCCTCAGGTGCTGGCAGGCCTGGAGCAGTCACAGAGGACTGGGGCCAGCAGCCTGCTTTCAGAGGTACATTCCTGCCACGCTTGGGGGGCAGAGCCCGTGCCTGCTCAGTGCCCCCCGAACCCCAATGGAGGCTCAGGGACCCCATTGCAAGCCCAGGGTTCAGGCTCCTGCCTCTCAGATGCCAGCGCCAGCCACGCAGCCCTTCTGGACAGCTGGCCCGGGGCCCCGGTCAGGCGGTCCCAGTCACCATTGAGAGGGCCTGGCGGCCATGTCCCAGGTTTGCACAGACCAGGGGTCCTAGCATGCCAGACACACCGTGCTCCCAGAAACTCTGCCACCCCAGACCCTGCCACCCCTGCCCCTCTCCTCCCTGGTGACCCTTGGGCTCGTGCACAGAGCAGCCCTGCGGCCTGGCGGGCAGTCACCCCCATCAGCACCTCTAGGCAGAGGCGTTCACATGGCAGCACTTGAATCAGCATCCCGATTCAAGATCCCAAATCCAGTGCAATTTGGTCAGAGTCGGCCAAAGACATTTAGAAGAAGATCCAGAATTCAGGCTTGGAGCTCCCAGTCCCCAGACCTTCCCACCCCAGACACAGATGGGCGGAGGGGGCAGGGAAGGGGGCTAAGAAATGACAAAGTCGGGGTTGGGGGACAGAGTGGGGGAGCACAGACAGGAAGGGGGACACAGGGGAAGGAGGTTATGGGGGCACAGAGACAAGAGGAGGGAGAGGAAGGAGGATGCAGTGGGAGGGGAAACTGGCTGAGGGGGGACACGGAGAGGAATATGAGGGCAGGGAGAGGGATGGAAATAGAGAAGGGGAGGCAGGAGGGAGGGGAAGACAAGGGGACGGGAGGCAGGGAGAGGGTTTGCAGAGGGGGAGGGTGTGTAGAGGGGAAAGGGGAAGGTTTTGCAGAGGGGGAGGGGACAGGGAGTGGGGAGAGGAGAGGAGGGGCCAGAGCAAGACTGTGGTGGGCACAGGGGAGAGGGCAGGAAAGTGGGGAAGGAGCAGACAGAGGGCGACCCCAGGGCTCTGCTGAAGTCCTGGGTCTGCTTTGTAAATGCTGCTCTGGCTGAGGATGGCCCCGTGGAGCCCAGGAGTCGCAGCATCACCCACGGTCACGTCGAGCAGTTTCCAAAATGCTACCAAGTGGCAAATGCTAATGAGGGGCTGTGGTCTGAGCATGCGGGGGTGGGGTGAGGTGGGCGGCACCGTCCCCGCGGGGTACCTTGGAGGCTCCTAACAGGGCTGCGCTTCTAAAGGTGGACTTTGCACATAGAGACCCACTGCAAGACCAAAGAGACAGAGCGAAGGCAGGTGAGGTGCAGCGTGGCCGCTGGGGCCCAGCGCCCACGGGCAGGCAGACACGACGGACGGACGGATGGACGGAAGGACGGACAGACGGACAGACGGCAAGCCCCGGCTCCAGCCGGCACCTTGGCCTCGTGGAGTGGCAGGAGAGACGGTCAGTGTTGGGACCTGGAGTGGCTGCTGTGCCCAGCGGCCCAGGGGCTCGGCCTGAGCCAGGCCCAGACAGCTGCACCTGTCCTCTGCCGACCCAGGCAGGGGGAGGCTGCCTGCAGAGTAGGAGGGCTGCCCTGGGCGGGAAGGGGCAGGGAGAGGGGCAGTCTCAGGGAAAGAAGGAGGAGCTGGCTGGCCAGGGCTCAAGGGGCCATGGCACCCTGACTTGGGTGGGGCCGGGAGAGCCTAGGGGAGTCATCACGGGGTGGGATGCAGGACAAGAGCTAGTGACCAGGCCCTGGGCATGCCAAGGCAGGGAGCAGGGCCCCACAGCGAGTCTGGGGACCCGGAGGTCCATTGTCGTAAGTTCAGGGCCAGGCATCCTCCCACCACCCCATCTTAAAGGTGGAGAAAGAGGCCTCGGGAGGTAACTACAGGACTCACTGCCCAGAGAGTTGGGCCGGCGCTGGGGCAGCAATGCCGGTCTGGGGCTGATGCTGCCCCTTCCTGATGGCGAAGTGGCCTGGCAGATGGTACTCACCTTACCACTGACGTCGCTGATGGCCACATGGACAAAGATGGAGGCCTGCTCCATGCCCTCCAGGTACACATGCCGATATCCTGCAACAGGGGTCACCAGCTCCCACCTGCCCCTGGGTGCTCATGCTCCCCACTTACAGGTCCCTGAGTATACCAACAAGCCCAGTCCAGGGCCTCCCCATCTCCGACCCCTAGTTCTACCTCCTCCAGGAAGCCCGCGGGGGTTTCTCCAGCCTCAGGGACAAGGTGTTCCCTTCCCCCAAGTGGACCAAGCCCCCAGGGCCTCCCTCGCCTTCCTCCCCAAGCCCCCTCCATGTCCCTTTGGACTGTCCAGGCTCTACCCACCCACCTGGCATCATGCTGCTGAAGGCCAGCGTCCTCTGGCCAATGAAGTCCCGCCCGATGGGGTCATGGTCCCACACGAGGAAGCGGACCAGCGCCATCTCGGGCATGTGCACCAGGAACACCAGAGTCTCCTCCCACATGGGGTTGAATCCTGGAGGCCACCAGAGGGGTGTCACCATCCCCCACTCCAGGGTCCAGCCACCCACCACAGGGCTCTGCCTACCGAAGTGCCAGCCTTGGGCTGGCTGCCTGGGAGCTGTGGCCGTCACAGCTACTTGCATCCAGAGGGGCAGTGTCTGCAGACAGTGGCCCAGGATGTAGTCACTGAGTGAGTGCAGGGAGGTGGCCAGGAGGTGGGATGGGGTGCCCGAGGCACAGGCATATGGAGGCCTTTCTGCCCCCCCACCCCACCACACTGCCCTGTGTCTCACCGTTGTCATCCACCACACGGGTTTGCTCCTTGTTGCAGTCCACAGGGAGCCCAATGATCTCCACCTCCACAAATGGGTCAATGATCTGGGGGCCCCAGAGGTACAGGTGGCACCCCAGGCCCAAGTGCCAGGTTCCTGCTCCTCTAGTCTGTGCCCTCCCGACACAGGACCCAGATAGCTTTGCTGCCCCCGTGGACCCCTCCTACCTCCCTGTGCCCCTCCACCTCCCTGCAGTCCCCAGCATTGAGTCCCACCCTTCTACCTCCCCACAGCCTCCCAGCATCGAGTCCCATGGCACCCTACCTCTCTCAACCCCCATCTCCCTGCAGCCCCCTACCTCCCCATGGTCCCCTATGTCCCCGCAGCCCCCCAACATCGAGTCCCATGGCCCCCCTACCTCCCTCAACCGCCCATCTCCTTGCAGCCCCCCTACCTCCCCGCGGTCCCCCAGCATTGAGTCCCGAGGCTTGGGGAGCTGCTGCCCACTGATGATCCGCAGCACCATCTGCTTCTTGAGTTGCCCGGGCAGCGGATCCTCAGAACTGGGGTTGAAGACACCTGGGGGCCGGGGTAGGAGGCTGAGCAGGCGTGGCCCTTCCTGAGTCCCCACAGATCCCAGGTGGGCACCAGGCTGCCAACAGTCAAACTCGCCTTTCCCCCATTTTACAGATGGGAACACGAGGCCCAGCCAAAGGAGAGGAGGCAAAATCTCAGTGTATGGGTTAGGGGCGTGGATCGGGACCAAAAGGTGGCTCTGAGCCCAAGAGCTGCAACACAAGGTGGGACACCCATACCCCATCCTACAGGTAAGCTGGGGGCACAGCGACTTGTGCAAGGTCACGCTGCCTCTGGATGGGGCCCTGGGAGCCCTGGTGGGGTGGGGGACCCTAGTGGGGTGGGGGCTGGGCCCTGGGAGCCCAGAGGTGAGTTCTCTGGTAGCACACCACAGGCCGTGAAGGCTGAAAACTTGGGGGGAGATAAGTGCAGATACAAAACGATCAAATACAAACCAAGAGGGGGTGTGGGAGGAGGGATTAGGATTCAAATGGAAAAAAATCCATAAATCATTTTCAGCATATCAGGGAGAAATTGAAGCATCTGAAAGGAGAGGACTGGTGGGGTGGGGGGGCGGGGAGGAAGGGAGGAGGGAGGAGGAAAGGGGGAGCTCCTTAAAATGCCAAGCCCGGAGACTAGCCTTGTGGGAACCTTGGTCTACGGCCACTGCAGACCAAACAGGCCTGGGGTGGGAGGCAGGCCTGGGACGGGGGGAGCTGGCACTGTGGCCACTGACAAGTCTTGCCTACACATGCCAATAAACCTCATGCTGGGGGCCCAGATGAGGGGCTAATTCACCGCCTCCAAATTCCTGGCCGAGTGGGGGTCCTTCATGCAGCCCCTGCCCCCAGCAGGGCGGGTGCCTCCAGCCCCAGCATCCTGGGAGCTACACCCCACAGGTTCCCTACCATGAGGCCCTGCTGCTACCGCCATCCCCCATTACTGTCTGGTGCAGCACCCCCCCAACTCCCACACCTGGGCACCTCACCCTGGCGCATGCACGGGGGCTTGAGCACGTAGCCACAGTTGCCATTGGCGCTGAATTTGGCGCGGTTCAGCTGCAGCATGCGCCCCTCCGTCTGGTAGTTCAGGGCAACTGCAGGGCAGGGCACGTATCACTGTCACACTGGCCTGCCCTTCCACTGGGTGTACCTGCCACCCTATCCCCCACCACCAGGCACACTGGGGGCCCTGAGGGCCTGACCCCTGGCTCCTGGTTCCTGGTGGGACACCACTGGAGCCCAGCACAGCCAGCTCCCCAGCAAACCCCAGACCCTAGGCATGCATGGGCAGGCCACTGTGTCTCCTGAGGACCCAGTCCAGCACCAATATATGAATTGGCGGGATGGCACGGAGGCTTGCCTGGGGACTCCTCGATGCCCCTCAGTGTGCTGCCCATGGGCACCCACCCATCTGGCAGCCGGCATTCCAGAAGGGCTGTGGGTTGTAGTTACTGGAGTCAACTCGGTAGGATGAGGGGTAGATGCGGGACAGCTGGTGCTGGTTGAAGCACAGGTACTGCGCCGGCTTCTGCTGCAGGATCTGGTGCGCCTTGGTCTCGCTGAAGGACGACACCTGCCAGCTGGATGCCACTGGCAGATGCAGATCGGCAGGCATTAGAAGGCAGTCCGCCAGGCTCAGGGCTCCCCAGTGTGCACCCCGACATCAGGGCATCCCTCCCTGACGTGCATCCTCAGGTCAGGGTGTCCCCCCCCACCATGCATCCCGAGGTCAGGGACAGCAGGCTTGGGACTCTCCAATGTGCACCAGGCTCAGGCCGTCCCTCTCTGATGTGCACTCTGAGGTCGGGGGCCACCCGGGGCGGAGGGAGGTCCTCCCCGCTGTGCACTGGGCTCAGGCCTGGCCAGCGCCCCCACCACCCAGCCTCCCCCTATGCCCGGCCCCACTCACCCTCGGTCTCCACATCGTGAGTTCCCACAGACTTGGTGTACTTCACCAGGTCCGACAGGGCCCGTGACAGCTTCATGGTCTTCTTCTGCCGGGTCACCCTGTGGGGTGGGAGGGGTGTCAGGAGCCTGAGGTCATATGGGGCCAGGGGTGTGTGCGCCCATCAAAGGGGCATGTGACCAGTGCTGAGTGTTGCAGAGACAGTGGGGCCAGGCAGCCGGGATAGCCACACTCTCGGGCTCAGACCTGCAGGGACAGCAGGTGCCAAGGCCCAGGCATGTAAGAGGAGCACCGAGCAGCAAGATGTAGCCAGGGTCACGGGCTGGGAGGTCCTCCAAGAGAAATGGGGACTTCTGGAAGGTTCTGAGCAGAGGAGAGCCTGGGAAGGAAAGAGGCTGTCGGGGTGAGAGGTGGGGGTTCCAGGTGTGCACTGAGAACAGAGCCAGGAGGAAGTGGGGAGGAGTCAGGTGTGACATGGAAAGGATGGGGGGCTGTTAGCCAGGATGGGGGTGTGAGAGTGCACAGGATGGAGGATGGCGGAGGCAGAGGGGACCAAACTGATGGGGGACAGAGGTGGTTGGGTACAGAGTGAGGGGGAAGAGGTGAGGGGGACAGAGTGAGGGGGACAGAGATGGGAGGGATGGAGACAATGGGGGACAGAGGTGAGGGGAACAGATTGTGGGGGACAGTGTGTGGGGGGATAGAGGTGAGGGAGACAGAGTGTGGGGGACAGAGTGTAGGGGACATAGGTAACAGGTGACAGAGTGATGGGGACAGAGTGTGGGGACACAGGGAAGCCTAGATTTAGAGGGCAGGTCTGAGAGGGCGATTTGCACACCCATGGAGGCAGTGACATAGGATGGCTGGGCTGGACTGGTCTAGTTTGCACATGGGGGCATTTGAAGGCTGGACATGACCCCTCAGGAAGGCATGAGGCTGGGGGGCGGTGCTAGACCGTGGGAGGGAACCCTGAGAGGAGGAGGAGCGGGACCCCAGGGAGAGAGGGGGCCCTGGAGGGGAAGGGAGGGTGTTGGCTAGACCAGGTGCCCAGGGAAGAGAAGGACTGAGACCTGGTCCCAAACCCCTAGCCACCCCACAGAGCCCCGTCCTGGGTTCCCGCAGGTCCACACTGCATGGCCAGCAATGGGCCTGGGCCTCTGTCCGAGCACCTTGCCCCAGGGTCTGGAGCACAGGGCCCACTACCCCGAACGGACCCCACCTACCATTCTGAGCTACCAGAACTGGGACTGCACATCCACTGCTCTACTGCCTGGACCACGACTTTGCCAACTCCCAATGCCTCTGGGGCAGGGTTGGGGAGAGGGGACCCTTCCTTCACCACTGCCCCACCAAAGCCCCCCTGTGCCCCCCTCCAGGGACCGCCTCCCGGGGTGCATGTGTGGGCGCTGTGGCAGGGCACTGACCCTCGGTTCTGGCTTCCTTGGGGGTCCAGGTCCTCCACCCCCTCCTCCACACTGGTCACCTTCTTTAACTTGCTGCCTTTTTTCTGGAGAGAAAGAGAGAGGCGTCGAGACCTGCTGGAGCCCTGGGCTCCAACCAGACCAGGCCGTTTTGAAGGCCAGGGAGCAGCAGGGAGGTAGGACCACCCTCCTGGGCCCCAACTACATTTCTTCCCAGGCCCTTCTGCGCTTGGCCATGGCTATTGGTCCTCTGCCACAGCCCCATCCCACCTGTCCCTGGTAGGCTCTCAGCCCAGCCATGGGGCCCCTGAGCTTGGGCCAGAGGAGGGGGCCACCAGAAAGGGCACTGCGGCCCCTGCTCCCGTGTAGCCCCTGCCCAGCCCCCGACCCTGGCCCCCTGCAGCCAGCCTTGAGATGCTACCAGCAGACTCAGGGAGGATTCTGAGAACCGGGCCAGGGAGAACGGAGACCCACCCCACCCCACTCTGAAGGACGATGGTCTCAGTCCCCCCAGCCCCAGAAGCCCACCAGACCTTGCGCTTGGAGAAGCTGTTCTTAAGGAGCCGGCTGTTCCGCCGGCTGGCTCCAGCGTCCTCCCCGGAGTCGACATCCTCCTCAGCTTTGCTCTGAGCCCCAGGGAGAGAGAGAGCAGCAGGGGTGAGTGTGACGGGGGTGAGCCTGGCCCTGAACCTGGTGGGGGGCGGGAAGCTGCTGCCATGCCTGGCCACAGGAGGCTCCAGGAGGCCTTCCTGGAAGCAAGGGATTGAGCTGGGCCTGGGAGGGACCAGGGCAGCAGAGGGAGGTGCTGGAGTCCCAGAGCAGATCCCAGGCCCACTGAGAGGGTGAGGGGGGCAGCTGCCGGTGAAAACACAACTGCAAAGAGGGGCCATCAAGGCACCGATGGAAGTGTTCTCGCAGGCACACACGCGTACGCAGATACACACACACACTAGCTTTTCCCAGCGTGCTCTTTAAACTCATTGAATTCTCAGTTCTGAATGTTTTTCCACAAAAAGTGATGGTTTAATACACGCAGTCTGTAGGTCTGGAATGTTCCTCAGCTCTTTGCTTATGTAACCCTCACAGGACGCCTGTGCTCTGATGCCCAGCCGGCTCAGCAAGCATATGCAGGCTCATTAGAGGGGCGAGGCTGGGCTGCATTTAAAGCCGCGAATGCTGCCTTCTGCTCACTGTCAGGGCTACCAGGGCACAGGACTGACCTTCCTCCTGCTATTCGAAAATCATGTGTCCTGGGCCCTGCCTGCTCTCTGGCGTGAGAGTCACTGCCGGGCGGTCATACCCACCCATTCGGCCGAGGCTCATTCATGCCAGAGCCCCGGGAGCCTGGGCCATGTGTTTCCATCCCTGAGGCTGCTGCAGACACCACCTGCCACTGCCAGCCCTTTGCAGATGTTCCCAAACTCAGCCCACGTCTCATTCCATGCACGTATAGCCCTGCAAACACACTTGCATACACCCCTGCATACACACCCCTGCACATACACCCCTGTATGCAGCCCTGCATGCACCCTTGCGCACACATCTCTGCACACACACCCGTGTACACACCCCTGCACACGCCCAACTCTGTTCTCACATGGGGCTGCTGTGCCTACTGGTGTGGCCAGCTGGGGGTCCCTCCATCCCTGGTAAAGGCCACTGTCCCTTCCTGAGTCCAGGCTGATAGCCCCTTCTGGGCTCCCTATTCATACCCGGCCCCTTTTGTGGCTTTCATACTGGCCCCCGGCAGGGTCCTCAGGGCCAGGAAGGTGATGCTGGCAGGCTGGCTCCCAGCTGGATGAGGGGTGAGCTGGAGGTCCTCAGACCCCCGGGGGGTGGTGGACACTCTCCATGCTTCAGCAGTGCCCCCAGGGGCCTCCAGGGGCCAAAGGTTAGGGGAGCAGCAGCCTCACCATCTCTGCACTTGGAGCCTGGGAGCTCTACTATCCCCAGGCTCCCCCCACCACACCCGGCCTAGCCTCCTGCTCAGGCCCGTGGGCCGGAGCCCCTAGTTCCAGGTGGTGAGCAAGACTCCCTCCTGGGCGGCTCTCATTATCTAGGGGGCGCCTCAGGAGTGTGGAGCTGGGTGCCTCATCCACCCTACTCCTGGGGAGGGTGGGTGTCTGCCCTGCAAGTAGAGTACTCCCGGCCCCAGGATCCACACTCCAAAGCACCCCAAGGAGCCCACCATGGGTGTTCAGGAACCGCAGAAGCCATGGAGCTAGAGCCAACCTCACAGCCAACAAAACCGTGTGCACCCTCAGCTAGACACTGAGCCACACACATCCGAAAACAAGGCATGTTGCCTGCTGCGGCCCCGGGCCGGACAGCCTATCAGTCGTGATGTGGCCAGCAGCTGCCCCCAGCTGCTCCAGTGCCCCAGAGCCCATGCCCATGGCCCAGATCTTCCTCCTTCCTTCTCCCACATCAGAAGCCAGGACAAACCCATGCCCGTGCCCCAGGTCTGGCTGCTCTGGCCCTGCCCTCCCGCTGCCCCCCGGAGCCCACAGCAGTGGGACGCTGGCCAGTGCCTGGATAGATTCTCAGTAGGAGCCACTCAGGATTGCTTTAAGAGATGTATGTCTCTGTCCACAGCCCCCAGCAACAGCAGCCCGTTTTCCTCTTAATTTATTGACGATGCTGAAGTGTGCGGGAGGCACTGGAAGCTGCACTAGCATTTGCTCAAAACCCGTGGAGACTGACACGCTCCAGCGCTCCTTAAACATTGCCCAAAACGCCACCACTGCTACCGAGAGCCACGGGCACCCATAAATCTAGGCAACAATTAAGGGAGCAGCGCTGGTGGCCCAGGTCCCTGGAGGAGATGCCGCCAACTGCGGCCCAAGTCTCTTGGACCAGGATGGACTGCTACCGGCACAGCTCATTCTCCCGCAACAGCTGGGCGGAGGAGAGCTGACACCCCATCAGGGAGGGCAAGGCAGCCAGCCAGCAGGAAGACAGCGTCTACCCGAGGCAGAGCACAGCTGCTCCCTCCTGACAGCGCCCAGCCTTCCAGGCTGCACGGCAGGGCAGGAGGCCTGGGAGGAGCAGGGTCCCAAGCAGAGGGCGAGGCCTCCTGTTGACCAGCACCAGCGCCCCCTGGAATTGTGCCATACTGCAGAGGCCCTTCATGCCCATCACCCCCGTTCCAGGGGTCCAGGGGTGCCCCCTGCTGAACTCAGTGCCTCCTCCTCCCCCACAGGACCCTCCTGTAGGACAGGTAGCATTCAGGACCCAGACTCATGCCCCCAGGGCCAGCTCTGGAAAGGACAGTGCCTGCCCCCATGGGACCCAAGTGGCCGCAGTGCCTGCATTGATGCCCCCTCTGCCTGGAGTCTGCACCCCTCCATGAGCTCCGTGGCTGACAAAGGCCCCCCCTCCCCTCGCTCCCTGCCCCTGCCTGGGCTCCACCTCTCCATCTCAAGACTAGAATAAGCGAGCGCCTGGTAGCACGGGACCTGCTGGGGCCACCTGCAAAAAGTGTCGCTGAGTTCCCTGAGCATCAGCTGTGCAGCATGGTGCTGCACTCGTGGGTGGCAACAAAAACAACCGCATCTAAAAATACAGTGCCCCAGTGGGGCACACAGAAGAGCCACTGCTGCCCCCCCAAAATCTGGAAAGTGGCAAGGGGCTACAGGGAAGGGGTGGAGTGAGCCAGTGCTTGCATGGCAGGCTCTCCACCAACAGGGAGGCAGCCGCACCCACCATTCGTGCCCTCCACCCTGCTCACTGTCCAGGCTTGGGGAGGCCAATCAACGCCCCGCCCACCCACCTCCCAAGGCCTGTCCCTGTCCCACCATAAGGGAAGCGACTCTGGCTCCTTAGGCCACTTGGTGGGGAGCCATCCCTCCAGGCTGGCTGCAGCCCAGATGCTCAGCGTCACTGCCCAGCCAGGCTCCCCAGACGCCCTGACGTCCCCTACAGCCGATCTCCATTTGGATACGTGCCCCATGGGGCTGTGAGTGGCTCCCAGCATGGGGGGGCACCACGCAGGGGGGGACCCAGGTAGAAGGAGCTCCAGGAAGAGGGGGCACTGGGCAGGAGGGCCCTGGGCAGGGGTGGCACTGGGCAGGGGGGCCCTGGGCAGGGGTGGCACTGGACAGGGGGGCCCTGGGCAGGGAGAATCCACCCTTCTGCACTTGGCTAGGCCTGCTGTGGGTGGGGGTCAGCACGCAAGCCTGGCACTATCTCGGCTTGGGATACTACGGTTGGAGCTAGAGGCCTCCACCTCTCAAGCATTCCCCGGGGAAGGGGACTGAAGCTGCCCCATGTGGCCAGTCCAATTGCCAGCCACACACACTCCTGGCTGGACAGCTTCTGGACTGGCTCAGCCCTGAGACCCTGCTGGGCCCCTCCCTGACACTCACAAGACCCCCTTCCTAAGACAGGGGCTGGAACAAGCCTGTGGGCAAACCCCTTTCCGTGAGGAGCTGCGGTCACCCAGGGCTGCCAGCCTCTCCAGCCTACAAACGGACAGGGTGGAGGGTGTGGGCTGGGAGCTGCCCGCAGGCCTCCGAGGGGGACGCACATGGCTGTCAGACTAAACGGAACTGCCAGAGGATGTGAAAACAGCCACACCAACAGGGCCACCAAGCCCCAGGCTGATTTGTTCTGTGACAGGGTAAACGTCTCAAGTCCTCCCTCAGCATGGAAAATCTAAGCAAAGGTAATCACTGAGCTCCAAGAGGACCCTGGGGATGTACCACGGGCAGCGTGTGTGTGTGGGTATGTGTGCGCGCACGCTCGTGGGCACAGGCGCACACGCTTGTGCATGTATACATGCAGGTGTGTGTGCACAGGTGTGTGTGCATATAGGTGTGTATGTACAGATATATGTGTATTTGTGCAGATGTGCATGCGTGTGCAGATGTGTGTGTATGAGTGCGAGTGTGTGTGTGTAGGTGCTTATATGCAGGTGTGTGTGCAGGTATGTGTGTGCGAGGGTATATATACCTGTGTGTACACAGATGTGTGTGCAAGCGTGTATACAGGGATGTTTTCAGGTGTGTATACAGGTGCATGCAGACAGGTATGTGCATTCAGGTGTGTACCTGCAGGTGGGTGCGTTTTGGTGTGCATGTGTGTGTATATGTGCATGTGTGTGTGTTCAGGGGTGTGTGTGTAGGTATTTTCCTGCAGGTATGTGTGTGCTGATATGTGTATACAGGTGTGCATGCATGCACACATGTGCAGCATACACAGATAGCACACTCCGGGCCCCTCTCCGGGCCCACTGGCCAGGCCTGAAACCTGTACCTGTGTGGAGGAGAACAGGTGTGGGGAGGAGAACAGGTGTTGGGAGCCTCACCTTCTTTCCCTCAGCCTTGTGCCCAAGTTTCCACGCTGGGGACAGCGTGGACACGGAGAAGTCGTTGGGGTCTTCACAGTCTCGGATCCTGGACTCCTTGATGAGGGAATCCAGTTTCCTCTTTGCAATGTTTTCCACACGTTTCCGGTTGGTGGAGGCCTGCAGGAGCCATATGGCGGCTGGTTGATGTCTGTCCCCAGCCCAGCAGCGGCAGGGCACTCCGGCGGGTCAGCTGGGGCTGCTGGAGCCCCATCCGGGTCCCCACTGCACTGGCTGCCGGCATGCGGGTCAGGTACTCGTCCTTGAAGCGGGCTCGCAGAGGGCAGGTGATTTGCCCCCAGGACGTGAACCCTGGCCCAGCTGGTTCTAACTCTCGCCTCCTTCAGCTGCAGGATGATGCTGCCCTGGGACCCAGCAGACAGTTGGTGGTCACTGGCACAGTGGGCTTCGGGGGGAGTCAGTGCACCCTCAGCCTGCCCTGGGCTCCCAAGAGATGCTCAGCAGTGCAGGGTCTGGGGTCCCATCACCCCAGAGAAGTGGGCCGGTGACAGTGGACTGACTGCTCGGCACCAGGTGCCAAGACTCCCCAACCCTCAGCCACACAGTGTCCTTGATGACCTCGGACGCCTCAGGGGCAGGGCCTGGGCTCAGGCATCTGAGCGCCCCCGGAGCCCTGTTTGTAGTGAGCCCAAGTGGATATCGCGACTGCAGCTGTGCGGTCTCTTCGGCTGATGAGAAATGCACAGCCATCCAGCAAACGGAAGGATCCATTGCCTCAGGGCTTTCTAAAACAATTAACCAAGAGGCTGGGAAGGCTCCTGTGCAATTATTTTCCCATCCAATGGCCCCTCAGGGAGAGATAGTCTTCACTGCCTCGTCACCAGCAGCTTAGCACAGATCCTCGGCCTCCACCTGCAGCCCCTAGCCCAGGCGGCCGCTGGGAGCAGGGATAGCTAGCTGAGCTGCAGAGAGAGTGGAAACCACCCACAGGAACCCCCTGACAGGGCAGGTGGCACGCGTCCTGGCATCTGTGGGCCTTGGGGTTCACGCCTTGAGGTGGGGCCAGTGCTGGGCCCACGGTGGCTGGGCAGGGTGCCCCCGTCCCAGGGTTCAGCCAGGGTTGGCCAGAGAGGCAAGGAATGGGGAGAGGGACCCAGGTTGGAGCCTGGCTGGTACAGGTGTGGGTGGGGTTGTCTGAGCCCCATGCTACGACCAACTGCCAAGGACACCAAGGGGATGTCGCAGGAGGTTGAGTGAATGGTTCCCACAGGGTCAGTTTAGAAATGGAAGCCGAGAGGGGCCCCAAGCAGACATGTGTCCACCACCCCAAGGGTCAGCCCCACCAGGAATGCAGAGTGCACACTCCAGTAGGTGTGGGGGAGTGGGCAGAGAGGTGACCTGGCCAGCTTTGGAAACCCCCCAGCTCCTGGCCTGGTGTTCTTCACTCCAGGTGCCTTCCTTCCTGACTTCCACTGACAGGAGGGACATGAGCCCCTCCTCAGGCTGCAGGACCCCTGCCCCCCACCCAGGGCTTCCCTGGCCCTCCCCTGGCCCCGCCCCCAATCCCGGCCCCCACCCCCACTCACATCCCCATTGAGGAGCTTGCAGTCATCATCAATCTCATCGGCGCTGTCCTCATCAGACACCTCGCCCTCCTCAGCGTCCTCACTGATGTTGGCCGGGAGCTTCTTCCCCTGGGGGAGGAGGTGGACAGTGGGAGGGGCCCAGGGGCCCAGGGGCCTTGAAGGAAGTACTGGCAGCCTGCACCCGAAAGGAGCAGCTGTCAAGGGGCAAGGCTTTTCTCAAGCTTGCCTGGGGTGACTCGGGGCGCAGCAGGGGTAAAAACCAGGGCTCGTCACCTCCCTGCAGCAGCAGCGTGGAAAGAACATGATTCAGTGTGCATGTTGGTGGGGGGTGGTCCCAAGACTGGCATGGCCACTGTGTTATACATAGGGAGACGCAGGCAGGTCAGGGCAGGCCTCTCTGGAGCAGGGCCCTCCCCAAGTCCTGGTCCCAGGTCAGATGCCCAGTTGGATGCTGACTCTGGGAGGGGTAGGGGCTGACCTTCACCAGGATCTTGCCCTTAAGCATCTCTGGAGAGGGAAGCATGGTGAAGTCCTCGCCGCTCACCGACGACAGGTCCAACTTGTCCCCAAGGATGTCAGTCAGGTACTGGGCCATCTTCTTCTGCTGGATGACACTGCAGTGGTTCTCAATGGACAGGATCACTGGGTACCTGTGGCCCCAAGGCAGGAGGAGCTAGGTGAGGCAGGGCCTCAGAACCACATATCAAGGAGGGGTCTTCATCAAGAGGCCTGGACAGATAGGGCAGCCAGCTGCTCCAGGAGGGGCCCACCAATGACCTTGAAAAGCAACTGAGTGGGTGGGAAAGTGGCTGGGAGACCTCAGGTACAGAAAAAGAAGATATGCACTTAATCTCTCAGTAAGAAAAAAGAAAAGCAATTAGAAACTCCAGGAAAACAAAAGGCAACATCTGAGAAATCTATGGTTCAAAAACGATGCAGACTAAACTGAGATACAACGTGGAACAATAGACAGATGGTAAGAAAGATGACCCTTTGACCTAGACACTGGGGACACTGCCCTTGGATGGCCTGGGGCTCCGACATTGGCCTCATGGAGAAGGAGACATAAGCCTGGGACACACCATCTGGCAGAACATGGCTGTTATCTGTGGGTGCAGAATAAGGAGTGGAGCATGGAATTTTTCATTATAAGCTCTTCTGTTTGTTTTTTCAAACCACGTGCACATTTTCCTTGCAGTTTTACCCAAAGGTACTCGTGGTTCTTTTAGAAAATATGACCTGGTGGAGAGGACGCAAACCAGAGCAAGAGATAGGCAAGTGCTGTGGTGTCGGGGAACAAGAAGGGCTTGGGGCACAGATACTCATCCCATCTTCCCATTTCTCAGACTGGAGACTGAGGCCTGGAGCCCAGGGTTTGGGGGTGGGAACTGGGTGTCTGCAAAGATGATGTGGACACCTGAGATGCATGCCTATTCTGAGACCACAGCTGGCTCTGGTTCCTTGGCAGCTGCAGGAGCCCCATGCCCCAAGCCACCCTCCCCACCTGCAGCCCCAGGGGCTGGCTGCCTTGTAGTATCCCTCCCAGCAGCTGAGACAGCCTGAGCTGCTGTTCAAGGAGAGGCCTCCGGTCACTGTTTTCTCAATCAACCTGCTTCTCCTCCCACCTTCATTAGATTAGCTCCCTCCTCACCTTCGAGGAGACTTGAAGATAACTCTCCAACTGAGGGAGGCAGTCTTCTATCTCCAGAAATGAAACTGAGTTTTGTTTAACAATGTCTGTAGCCACAGCTGAGTGACAGCAAATTGAGTCTGGACGCAGAGTGGCTTCTCAGGGGTAATTAGGACTGAAGCCACTGCAGGCAACTGACACTCAGGGATGGCCACAAGCGAGTGTGGGCAGGGGGCCGCTTGCACACACCTGTCATGTTGTCTGCCCACTCACCACCGCTGGCCCTCTCCCTGGAGCTGTGGGTCCACTCCCTGCCCTGCCCCTCTCTCCTCAATGAAAGACCTCGAAACCAGCCCCTCAGCCGGAGGCTATCACAGCCACTGCCCCCCAAAAAGGATGTGGGAGAGGGGCAGGAAGAGCCAGAGCCTAGTGGCCCCTGCCCCGCCCCTTGGGGCCAGCACCCCAGTCCCAGCCACTCACTGTTATATCCTGTTTTGTTTCTCTTTGTTGTTAGTTGCCATCGAGTCGATTCCAACTCATGGCGACCCCATGTGTGCAGAGTAGAACTGTGCTCCATAGGGTTTTCAATGGTTGTGACTTTTCAGAAGCAGATCACCAGGGCTTTCTTCTGAGACATCTCTGGGTGAGTTTAAACCTCCAACCTTTTGCTAGTAGCTGAGCGCTTAACCAATTGCACCACCTGGGAACTTCTACTCACTTGTTCTTGATGAAGGCGTATTTGTTGATGGTTTCGATGACGTCTTTGAAGAGGATCTTGGAGGTCAGGGTGTAGCCATGGTGCACAATGGGCTCGCCATCAGGCCCATCCCAGCAGTCCACTGTGGGCATACAGGCCACGGGTCAGTGCCAGGGCACAGAGGCCACATCTGCTCCAACACCAGCGATGGCACACACAGGCCACTGAGCCTGTGGACCCCAGTAGAGGACCGTCCACCTGCTCAGTGGTTACACTGAGGGGAAGACTTGCCCCAAGCCTCCGGCCTGATCCTCTGCCCACCCCACCCCCTACAGGAGCCTGCCTGGGCCCTGGGGGCAGGCAGGTCCTGGAGCACCCATGACGTAGCAGCCACTCACCCTCCACACAGCGGCAGCCAGCCTGCAGGACCCAGGCATACATGTCCACGCGGGACTGGGACATGAGCTGGTCACCCACAAGGTAGGTGTTGTGGGACGAGGTGATGAAGTAGTGGCTCAGCGGGCGGCTCATGTCCTGGTGCACACTGTGGTGCGTGGGGTTGAAGATGTCACCAGCTGGGCTTCGCATGTAGTTGGTGAAGCCTGCAGAAGGCGGGGATGGTGGTCATCCCTGTGTGTTCGGCCCTCAGCCCGGCTGCACTTGTGCCTCATCTCATAGCCACCCACCCCCCAGACTTTGTGGGGCCACTGGCTCAGGCCACTGCCTTGAGCCCAGCTCACACTGTGGCCAAGGCCCCCAGCGGCCCCCCAGGACAAAGGATTCAGTGTAGTCCCCAGGACAGTGGACACCAGGTGGCCTCACTCACCGTCAATTCCCAGCACCCCCTTGCTCTTGTTTTCTGGGCAGGGCTCAAACTGCTCAATGATGTCCTGACAGCTCTCAAGCGTCACACCTGTCATCTAGGCAGAGGAGGGGGCTGGGCTAGCCTCAGGCAGTCCCCTACCCTCCCCATTGCCACTGCCTCCCACCTCCTGACCTTGCAGCCAGCTCCCCCCTCCCCCAGGGGACTCACTGACCATCCCCAGTGTCATGTAACTTGGGACAGACTCAGGGGTCAGTGGTCAGCAGGTGGGCTCAGCATGGAACAGAGGCCACGCGTGGGGAGCTGTACAGAGCCAGAACCACATCCCAGCCTTGGGGGAACCCCGGGGGCACAGGGAAGCCCCCTGCCATCTACCCCAGGTCTCTGCAGGTGACCCTCATGGGAAGCTGAACCCCCAGCTGCCCCCAAGGTGGCCCCACACACTGGAGGCCAAGCAGCTCTTTGGTCCCCACTACAGGACCTATCCAGCACCCTGTGGTGCTGTCAAGGCCAAGAACCCTGTTTTCCAGTGGCAGGTCCTCCACCAGGGCTTCCCAGGAAGTCCCCAGGAATGTGTGCATGTTGCAGGGAAGTGGGGAGAGGTGGGGATGGTGGAGGAAAATGGGGTTGGAGCTTGGAGCCAGCTGTGGGCCATCTGTCAGCTTTGAGGGTACGGGGCACACAATGCCTGGGCCCCTCCTATGGGAGCATTCTATGGGAGCATTCTTTCCAAGGGACAGAGCTTCCAGCCATGGACATGCACCTCAGGTCCTCCACACCAGAGGGGCCCAGGAAGGGGAGGTCCTGACCACTGAGCCTCTGGACACTGGGTCTCAGGCCAGCTGTGCAGTCCCCAGAAGAACGTGGCCCTAGCACTGGCCCGTGGACTGGACAAGGCTTCCTAGAGTCAAGGTACAGAGGTAGGTGGGTCTCATGGGCACCAGGAGGCACAGGGCATTTGTTGGGCAAATGATGAGTGGAGGTGGCCCTGGGCCAGGCTCTGGGGAGGGGCCAGCCAGACCCACACGGGGAGCATGGGCATGTAGGGGCAGTGCCCAGAATCTGGGCCATAGAATGCAAATCCCCCCTGGAAGCTTGGGTGGCCGAAGCCAGGACAGCACCCCTCACTGGCCCCAGTGGAGAAGCTGCTAGCCCTCTGCCCCACACAGCAGATCCCCCCAGGCTCCCTGGACAAGGCTGGTATAGTGATGTGAGCTAGAGCAGGTGCCTTGAGCAGAGGCAGATCCAGGGCTGCAGAGGCCAGGCTGTGGCCCCACTGACCCCAAGCTATCAGCTGCACTGGGACCCCCTCGGCACCCTCACCTTCTGCTCTACCTCAAGGAAGTGCTGCAGGTCGGCGGCATCCAAGTGGTCCTTGTGGTTGCTGTAGGTCAGCAGGAGCAGGTAGAGGTCCCGGCGGGTGGACATCGCCTTGTAGAAGGCACAGAACTCCTCGAAGTCCAGTGTGCCCTGCTGGTCATCTGTGTCTGCTTCCTGCAACCCAAAGCCTCTGGGTCCCTGTCTATATCCTCACACAGCCACAAGTGGTCCTCAGGCTTGTCCCCCTCCTTGGCTGACCAGAACCGCAGATCCACCTCCCCCCACTTTCTGTTTCGCTGCAAGGTCACCATGCCCCAGACAATCACAGCTGTGTCTTCACTGGCCTCCCCCTTTCTGCCTCTCCCCACCGAGAAGCCAAAGGGGCAACCCTTCTAAAACACAAATTTGACCCCGCGGCTCTGTGCCTTCCAAGGTCGGTCTGCAGCCGAACCTGACACCATCACTGATACTGGGAGTCAGCACCCACCCTGGGTTCCATGCCACTGAGCCTCTAATGAAATTGATGCTCATCAATTAGGAACGCTCATGTTCCCAGGAGACCCAGGCCCCAAGTCTCCCTGGCAGAAACAAGCAAGACCTATTCTCAGCCACTGCTTTTCTTTTGCTCATGAGATGCCCCCAGGAGCCTTTCAGGGCTCCCCACAGGGGCGGTGGCTACGAGACGCTGACCCACCAGGGACCCCCATGAGGGTATGGGCTCCTTGGTGAGCCCACTTCCTCACAGCATTTACTGACAACACGCCAGACCCCCCAGGATCCAAGGGATAAGGCACAGCCCTCCTAGAAGGGGCCCAAGTCTGGGGACAGACACAGAAGATAGTAACATCCCAGTTGCTGCAGACCAGAAGATTCCTGATGTGCCCAGGGACCATGATCACCTAGGGGTGTGCAAGAAAGGCTGATTGAGCATAGAGGTTGGGCTGAGGTCCGAGAGGGGGATAGATGGGGGTGGTGGGGTTGGGGTCGAGTGGGAACACAACCCACTTGGATGCTCTGGGCTCCAGCTGGCACCCAGCTCAGCCCCATCTCCTTGTGGGGAGTGCCTGGCCAGCAGGACACAGAACCTGGCTCTGCACACTGCAGAAGAGCTGTGCTCAGTGAACCAGGCCAGCCGTGGCTCCACCAGCCCAGATGCCCACCTGCCCAGGTGCTCACAGAGAAGCTGGTGGGGTGGCCACAGCCCCAGCCAGGTGAAGCCACCAACCCAGCACTGACTGCAGCTTTGCCATCTCCCCAGACTTGGCACATTGAGGACCACAGCCACCATCGTCCTCGGACACTGCCCGAGGCCACAGGTCTCCACAGAGTCTCTAGATTCTGATCGATCCCTGTGACAGGACAAAGCCTCATAGAGGTAGAAGTGGTGCCATGCCCACCACACCAGAAACACCAGGAAGGCCGGAGTGGGTAGGCTGGGGGACCACTGGAGGCGCTGTGGGCAGGGGGCCCCAGAAGAGCCCACAGTGGGTGTGACAGGAGGGCTGGAGAAGGGAGGGAGCAGGCTACCAAGGGTCATTCTCTTCTGAGGACAGCCCCCACCCCATCTCCAGCACACTGTCAGCACCATGGACAGCATCACCTGCTGCTCTCCTGCTGACAGCGAGGGGGGTGGTCCTTTGAGGTCTCCTCTGAGCCAAGAGCATCCCAGTGAGTGCAGCGACCACAGCCACCCTCCATGTCCCTGTCCCCGTGAGAGTAGGGCTCCTGGGGAGGCAAGGCCCTGATGTGCTTCTGGCTGCACCCCAGCTCAGGCTGGGCCTGGCAGTGGGCACCCAGCAGGACCTCCGTGACTCCCTCTGGGACCCGAGAGCTGAAGGTTGTGCCAGCTTGGTGTGAGGGGCCCATACTAGGTGGTGCTAGGGCCCACAGATGCCCAAGGAAGACCCTGGTCTGTCTAACACTAGATTTGAAGGTGGCCATGGGTCTGAGGTGAAGCAGTGGTGGTTCAATGGAAGAATTCTCTCCTACCATGCGGGAGATCCAGGTTCAATTTCTGGCCAATGTGCTTCACTCAAAGCCACCACGTGTCTGTCAGTGGAGGCTTCTGTGTTGCTATGATGCTGAACACGTTTCAGTGGAGCTTCCAGACTAAGCCAGACTAGGAAGAAAGCCCTGGAGATCTATTTCCAAAAACCAGCCAGTGAAAATCTTATGGATCACAACAGTCTGATCCACAAGTGACCATGGGGATAGTGCTAGAATGGGTAACGTTTTGTTCCATTGTGTGTGGGGATGCCATGAGTCGGGGCCCAGTGTCCTTACAGAGGATCGAGGGTAGGGGCATCCAGAGCTCCCCATGTGGGCCTTCTCCAGTCAGGACTCCACACCAGGACCTTGGCCCCAGGAGCTGGGCACCCTCATAGCTGGTACTTGTTGTTAGATGCCATCAGGTCCATTCTGACTCATAGCGACCCTATGTACAACAGAACAAAACACTGCCCAGTCCTGTGCCATCCTCACAATCGTTATTATGCTTGAGCCCATTGTTGCAGCCACCGTGTTAATCCATCTTGTTGAGGGTCTTCCTCTTTTTCGCTGACCCTTTACTCTACCAAGCATGATGTCCTTCTCCAGGGACAGATCCCTCCTGACAACACGTCCAAAGTATGTGAGACGTAGTCTCACCATCCTTGCTTCTAAGGAGCATTCTGGCTGTACTTCTTCCAAAACAGATTTGTTCGTTCTTTTGGCAGTCCCTGGTACATTCAGTATTCTTTGCCAACACCACCATTCAAAGGCATCAATTCTTCTTCAGTCTTCTTATTCATCGTCCACTTTCACATGCATATGATTTGTATAGCTGGCTGAGTGAGGGCTTTGTCGCCCTCCAGCCAGGCTAGTGTCCACACAGCCTCACCTCCTTGGAAGGGCTGCTGACCACAGAGCTGCCCCTGGAGCCTGGATAGGCTTTGACGGCCCAGCCCCAGGCAGGCAGGGAGCTGTAGGGCTGGTGGGTGATGTGCCCAGCCCCCTTAATTCTCCTGCTACCCTCCCCATCCACACTTAGACTTGCTCACTCCGAGCCAGGCTGGCCGCCTGGCTCCAGCCAAGCATGACCGCCCTGTCCATCTCAAGATAGGCAGCAAGAGCCGAGGGTGCTGTGGGGGAGCTGCCAGGCTGGGGCGGTAGGGCGGGGGCGGGTTGCAGAGCCTGTCGTCCAGCTAGAGAACCCTCCTCCAAGTGGAAGCAAGACGATGAGACCCAGGGCAGGGCAGCGAGGTTCGAGATCAGCCTGTTTTCACGCTGCCCACTCACCTGGAGCAAGAACTGCTGATGGCCATGTTCCCCCACCCCAGCAGGTGTTCCAGAAAGACACAAGCTAATTACAGACAATAAGGGCTGCAGCTCTGGCTGGAGCATCTAGGGGATGCATTTTTATAACTTCTAACAATGGGGCGGCTGAGGGACTGCAGAGGCCAGGGAGGTGGTGGTGGGGCAGGGGGCGGCTAGGTGGTGCCAGCTTGGGCACCTGGGGCCCAGACTGGGCTGGTCATCTCCTTGAGGCATTGTTGGGGGGCAAGGAGAGGGGTCGTGGCCTCTTCTGGGTGCTTTCCTCAAGGAGCCAACCCCTGACCCCAATGCCTAGTCCACAAGCCTTGGACTGGTGGAGCAGTGCTCACCTAGCTGCCTCCCTGTGTCTGCCCCTCTGCAGCTGGACCACCACCGCCCAGGACCTCTCCTGCTCAGGCCAGGCTGTGCCTCCAGCCCAGGGCGCCCGCCTCCATCTCTGCGTGGTCCCCAGCCCTCTGCAGAGACCCCACAGCAGGAAGCCCACGCCCCGTCCTGCCTCACCTTGAACATCTGCTTCACGCGCTGCCGTGGCAGGTTCACGTTCAGCTTATGCAGCAGCTGCAGGACCTCGCCGATGCTCAGGCTGCCGTCTCCGTTCTTGTCGGCCTCGTCGAACGTCTGCTTCAGCCACTTTGGGGCCGAGTTAGGGGCCAATGCGGTCCACAGGGCAGCCACACTGCCTACCCTTGGAGCAGACAACCCTCCCCCAGACCGTGTGCGCTCCCATCCTCCCTTGCCCGGTGTGTGGCCTGGCCTGGGGAGACAGGTGAGGGCACTATCCCTGCCCTACCCCGGCCCACCCCAAGGATATTGGTCCCTGGTGCGCTGCCGGCGGGCAAGGCTGTCCTCGTCACTGATGCCAGCCATGAGGTAGCGAAGACCGGTGACCCAGGTGCGCGCCTCGTCCCCACTGGGTGAGACCAGGTCCAGGGAGTCACGGTGGTCGCCATAGTAGACGCTGAAGCAGCGGTTGGGGTCGAAGCTGCCGTCGGGATAGCGCTGGAAGATCTCTGACTGTCGGCCCTCGCTCACCTCCTGGATGGAGTCGATGGAGACTGCGGGCAGGCGGCAGGGCAAGTCAGTCAGTAGGGTCACGGGGCTCCCTGGCCTGGCCCCCCGGCCCACATTCCAGAGTCCAAGGGGCCTGGGAACCACGTGGAGGGCTGAGTAGCCTGGGCTGTACTAGAGCGCTGGGCCGTTGTCATAGCAACAGCTCAGCGCCAAGCCACGGTCCCCGCTAAGCCTTCAAACGCCAGGGCGGTTGCACTTTTGGGGGCTCCTTTCTGTGATGGGAATGAAGCTTTCTCATCCCCACAGGGCATGACTCTGATTTCATGGTGGAAGCTCCGGCAGCAACAAGGGAAAGCAGAAGGACCGCCCCAGCGGCCAGCAAGAGACGATCCACCCATCCCAGCCCCAGGGGCTCCACAGTCTGCCCTCTCATCTCCCACCGACACTCAGCTCCAGCCTGCTGTGTCGAGAGGCTGCCCTATGCTCAGGGGATGCACTGGGTTCAGGGACCCCCAGCACGTTTCAGATTGGGAAAAGGAGACAATGCACTGTGCTCAGGCAGCCAAGCTCACTCTGCCGCCCTCCCTACTCAGCTCTGACAGTGTGGTCCCCCTCCCACACTTTCAGCATGAAAAAGACCCTCCCCGCTTCTTCCCGTGAGCGCCCCAGATGTCCCCTGGTTAAGGAGCAGAGTGAGACTTCAAGGAGCAGCCAGATCATCACTCGGCCAACTCATCCCCCCTTCCAGAAAGGCAGTTGCTAGCTGACAGCTTCAGCTGCCTCCTAACACGCTCAATAGTGGGAGGGGCAGGGGAACAGCAGCCCAGCTCAGATTCCATCAAGGGTCTCATTACTGGCCCCGGCACTCAGGCTCCAGGAGCCTCTGTTTAAAACATTGAGTTACCGTGGACAGATGAGCTCAGAGGACTCTGTAAAAGGCCTGTACCTGCTCACAGCAGGGCCCGCTCATGGCACTGTGGTGCAGGCATGCGTGGAGCTGGGGGGCAAGGCACCCGTGGTACAGCACCACCAGGGACTGACACCCAACACCCGCCAACACCCAGCAACTAGTGCCCCGTCTCCTGCCCGCTCCATCTGTGCCAGCCTCTGTGCTAGCACCTTCTAAACATTTCTGTGTCTGACGCTCATGGCGACCCAGGACACTAACAGGACCATCAGTCAGCCCCAGCATGAGCTGAGGAGGCTGAGTCTCCTCCAGAGCCTTGAATGCCCTGGAAAGAACATTTTCCAGATGCTGGGTCCCCATTCCAGCCCTGCCACTGCTGCCGAGTGACCTGGGGGGTATTTGCCCCTCCCTGGGCCTCAGTTTCTCCATCTGTACAGTAAGGGGTAACCTCACTCCTCTGCCTGCCACTCCATGCCCCCTCCCGGAAGCCCCTTTCCTCAGCCCCCATGGCCTTCCCAGCCTGCTGGCCTTTCCTCATTACTGTGCACAGCAATGGTGTGGGGGGTGCTATGTGCCCCCAGACTAGGAAGACAGTCCAGGGAAGAGCTCTTCCACCCTCTTCCTCCCTCCCTGGGACACCGCCCAGGCCCAGGGGGTTCTCTGCACCAAACTGCATCTTCCTGAGTTTGGGGGTAGGGATGGGAGGCTGGGGCAGTCCACCCTAGCACTGGGGCCCTGAGCCTTCAGGTCTCAGCTCAGTCATCCCTTCCCCAGAGGGGCTTCCTTGAACCCCAGGCCACCTGTCCCTCTCTTCCCTGCCATCCTTGGATGTTCACCACGGGGTGTTATCTTCTCAGTTATGTGGCTCAGTACCGGGAACAGCACCCGGCACATAGATGGTGCTCATGGCTGAGCATGGGTGCTCCCCATCCCGGGCCCAGAGGGTAGCCCCAGCCCCGCACCTCCCCCCACACAGCCTCCTGCTCCAGGACACTTCCCTCGCAGCTCACCCACGCTTCGCCCCCCAGGGCCTCTGCAGAAGGCTGTCTCTTGGGGCTCATGGTGGTGGTAGCACCCTTGGCAACTGCTAGGCTGAGGCCCTGGAGACACCTGGTCCCGCCCCAGGTCGGCAATGCCAGAGTAGGTGTGGAAACTCCCATCTCCCAGCCCAAGAGGACACTTATGTGCCTCCTCCAGACCCCTGGGACCCCCCACCTCGCCCTGCCCTCCCTCTGCCTGTGCAGACCCTCCTAGCTCAGGAGCTGCCTCCCTATCCCACTCTAGGGCCCCAGCCGGGGTCTCCCTCTGTCTATCCACTTGCCTCTCACCCACCCCAGCATTCGGCACAGGGCTAGACTCCAGGGGAGCTGCATGGGCTCACTGAGTCCCAGAAACTGCCAGACGGCCTCAAGGCCGGGCAAGGGTCACAAGGGTTGGGGCACTGGCTCCCCCATACCATGGTCCAGATGTCACTACAAGGCTAACTGAGCTTATGCCCAAGGCCCAGAGCCACCTAGAGACTTCTAGGGGCAGGGTCTTACTGCCCCCTTAGTTGTCCATTGGCTGTTCTAGGAGGGGTCCCTACTCCCACACAAGGGGTTCTCACCCAGGGGCTCTGGGCCTGGCCCCGCACTTACTCTTGGCCTTCTCGTTCTTGCGCGAGGGCCGCCAGCGGATACAGGAGCGGTGCTCATCCAGGTAGTAGAAGCGGACGAGGCCTTTGGAGCTGCCGCGGAGCTTCACCATCTGTGTCCCTGCCTGCATGGCGCTCATGCACCGCTCCACTGGATGCCACACATGGACAGACAGACAGAGACATAGAGTGCTGGTGAGCGCTGGGGCAACGCCACCCTCACAGCAACCTGGCCTCCTCCCCACCACCCCAAGTGCCCCTGCCAGTCCTGTCCCAGGGCAGGAGGGAATGTGAGACCACCCACCCGTTGCCCACTCTTGAGATCCCCAGGGGCAGGCCCAGGCTGTCTTCCGATCACACTCAAGCTGGGCTTGCCCATGGTCAGGGCCACCAGGAAATATGGCTGCCTCTCTTCCACATCCTAGGGACAGAGGGCCAGGCAAGGTCTTGCCCTGCTTAGGCCACCTGCCCACCCTACCACTACCGGGATTGGCCCCTCAAAGGGAGCATACACAGTGAGACCACAGTACAGCAGCTGAGTTTGCAGGGTTCCACAGTGGCCAAGCTCAGGGGCCCCTCTGCACCAGAGGCCTCTGCTTGGCACAAGGCAGGCCTGGGCGGGCGGTAGGCACCCCATGACACCCCGCCTGGCTTGCTGCCCTTTCAACACACAGGCCACCCCCGAGAGAAGCCAGTCTTACTCCTGGGTACCTGCTCTCCCCTCCTGTGACACCATAGAGCCGCCCCTCCCAAAGCACAGCAACACCAGCACCCATCATACTTACTCCCTGAGGCCCCTCAAGCCATGGAGGACAAGGGGGAGAGGGTGCCAGACAGGCCAAAACCCCTAGGGCACAGATCCCAGAGTACAGAGCCAATTTGAGCTCCGGAACCCAGACCTTCCCACCAGGCCCACTGCCCCTCTCCCCCTCTCTGTCTGACCTTGTCCCTCTTCCAGGTCACAGCGGGCAGTGCTGCTGGCTTCAGTACCAGAGCGTCCGGCTGGAGGAGCTGCAGGCTCAGGGTCAGCCACCCGGGCCCTCATACCAACTCCCTGAAAGCTCAGCACATGCACGGCCCCAAGGAACCGTACCCAAGAGGTCCACACCACCAGGGACCCCAGCCCGAGGGGACTAGTCAGCAAGGACTTCCAGAAAGAAACCAATATTAGACCTTGGAGAGGAGGGAGCCTTGGCAGTGGGATGGGGTTCCCTGACCTCCAGGGAATGGGAGAGGAGGTTGAGCAGGGAGAAGCAGGGGCGGCCACAGAGCTGGGCCACAGAAGGCCTAGAACAGGGCTCGGAGGTGGTAGCCTGGACCCGGCCTGCCCACCAGCGGAGTAGAGACCCAGGTGGACAGCCCCACTGAGGCTGCCCTGGGCCTCCTGAGACAGACCATGAGACCCTCTCCTTTCCAAGGCAGAGGTGTTATCCCACCACAGGGGGTCACGACAGCAAGAGGGTGTTCTGCCTGGCACCAGCACACTGGTCCCACCCCACCTGGGCTGAAGGTGCCACTGCCCTCCAAAGTGACCAGGAATCTCCCTGAGCATCCCACCCAGCAATCCAGCCGGGGCCCTGCCCCTCAGCCCCCTCCTTGCCCTGCTTACCCCTACTTACTGTCTGGGTTCACCTCCCAGGCCTGCTCTGAGGCAGAAGGGTAGGGGTCATTCCTGAGGCTGCTGCTGGAGCCACATTTGACCCCCAGAGGGAGACTCAAGAGGTAGAGAGGGTAAAGGTCAGCCAAGGAGGGGATGGGAGACCCCAGGCCATTGACACCTCCAGGGACAGCCCCTCCTCGCCTCCACGAGAGTCCAGCTAGTTCCTTTAGCAGTCAGATTGGCCTCAGGGGACCTGTGTCCAGTGCCCCTGCCCCTCCTCCCAGTTGCGGGCAGGCGGGCCCCTGCTCACCGAGCTGGTCGAGCTGCCACTTTGGACACATGGCCACGCTTCCTGTGACCCAGAGCAGTGCCTCAGCCAGGCAGGCCACTGCTCCCCAGACCTGGTGGGTAGCAGGCCTGGCTGAAGTCATGCTGGGCAGCGGCCAGGACCAAGGTGGGCATGCAGAGGCCGGAGGGGGCCCAGCTCACATCAGGCGGAGGTGGCTCTGAGTGCAGGGGCTCTGTGGGGAGGCCCTCCTCTGGCCCAGTCCCAATGCTAATCCAAGGCTACCATCCAGCCCAGCTGCTCAGAGGATTTAGGAACTCCCAGCTGGGGAGGAGGGGACCAGGGAGGTGCCAGCCCCCAGGGCCAAGTCACGACAGGCAAGATAGAAGGCGGCCTCCTGGGGACTCCGGCCACACCCAGAACACAGCTACAATGGTCAATGCAGCCTGGGGTGCCAGTCCTCACAGACCACCCCACCGAGGGCTCCTGTCTTACCCCTCCCCGCACTGGGATGCAGAGGCTGGCATCCGCACTCACAGGGACCCCCCGAGAGGGCTTCCACAGTCCAGAGGTGGGCGGACCCCAAGGTGAAGCAGGAGCAGCAGCATCCTGTCCCGAGGCACAACCTCCAGCCCTCTGCAAGATGGGGCCTCCAGCCTGGCCCCCTCTCCCTGTCCTGGGGCAGGGGTGGACAAAGGCATCTGGGGGCCTTTCAGCGAGTGAGGGCCCCTGGGCCCAGGCCGAGCACACCAGCCTACCTCACCCAGCTTGAGGCAGCGCCTTGGCGGCCTTAGGCACTCTCCAAGGCCCAGCCCCTGGCAGGTGACCTTTCCCACAGACAAAGGCATCTGGTGCTCCAAGCACTTTCCTTGCCACATTCCGTCTCCTGAGGCTGGGCCAGCCTAGGCAGCCACCCTCCCCTAACCACCACCTGGCCTCAAGGAGCACCCAGCAGCCCCTCACCACAAATGCCAAATGGACCCTGGACCCAGGCAAGAGGCAGACCCGGAGAGCAGCGGGTGACCCCGTGGTGCTGCTTTCGGTGGGGGAGGCAGAGGGATGGGAAAGAAGAAAGACAGAGGGGACTCGGCCACTAGGGCCGACTGCTGGGGTGCTGCTGGGCACCCCAGCCTACCTCACCCCCAGACCAGCTTGGCAAACCATCCTCCTGGTTGGGGGCATCTGGGGGTTGCACAGAAGCCCCAGGGTTGGGACAGCTCTGGGACCCCTGCTGCTGACTGACCACAGTCCTGGCCACCCACTGTGCAAAGGACCCACCCGTGGGGCCCTCAAGCCCAGTTCCCATGCCCACCCTGTTCCTTCTGCATGGGCACTGCCAGGCCTCGAAGGGCCGGCCAGGCATCTGCCTCACCCATCCCAGGGTCCTGCTGGAAGCCCGGCAGTCTCCAGGGGCAGCTTTGCAGGCAGTGCCTGGGCTTTGGCATGGGCAGACCTCATGAGTGCTGGCCGCCCACCCTACTGACTATGCCCAGGAGCCTCCACCTCCCCTCCCCGGCTGTCCTGAGGCTCCCATGATTCTGTCAGAAATGTCTACGATGGGTGGTTAACCCCTGCGCTCTGCACAGAGGGAGGGGCCGGAGAGCCCAAAACAGGGAGGGCCTGGCAGAGCTGCAGGGGACCAAGGTCACTGAGAAGGCAGAAATGCAGGCAGAGAGGACATGGACCAGAGAACCCAGAACCCCCCCAGCCACAGCCAGTGTGATCAACTGGAAGCCAAATTCCAGAACCCAGTTAAATGCCTTTGTCAAGGAAGCCCTAACTGACTTATCTGCAGAGGGCGGTCAGCGGCTTTGCATATTTTGCTTCAGAATTGGATTAGGAAACCATTAGCCCCTGGAACAGGAAGGGGGAGGCCTGTGCGTCTCAGGAAGACGGGGCTCCTGGATGCCCCCCCCAACAGCATTGCTGCCTGTGCCAGCGGTCTGGGGGGATCCCCAAGGAGTGTCAGAACCAAGGCCCATAAACCTCCCTTCCTGGACCAGAGCCACGGCTGGGGAGGGATCCCACAGCTGGTGGACCCCAGCTTGGTTGAGATCCCATGGCCTATACCCTTGGTGCCCAGGGCCATATGCCCCCTTTGCCTTGGGCACAGTGTGACACTCCCGCCTTCCTCACTTGCTGACCCTGCAATCACTGCCTTGACCTCATTCCATCCTGCCCCCCACAGCAGATGACCCTTCCTCCATGATGATACTGGGCCACTCACTCCTGAATCAAGAGCTTATGGCTCTTCGTGCCCAAGAAGGCCAAGGTCTCCTTCTTACCCTCAGGGCAGGCCTGTCCCAATCTGGGGGCACCCTCTCCTCCCACTGACCCAGGCCTGAGGCCCTACCCAAAGCCCAGCTCTCCTCAAAGCCCCCAAGGCCACCCAGCCTCCACCCCTGGCCATGAGCTACCCTCCTGCTTTCAGCCTGGTGGGTCTGGCTGCCCCTCTGGCCAGGGCAGAGGTCTGGAGTGGGGAAGGTTTGATGGGCCCAGCCCACCCTTCCCAGCATGGGCCTGAGCCCCAGCACCCGGGCTCCTGCCACCACCTTGGCTGCCCTGAGCTGTAATCCTGGACTGACCAGCCAGATGAAGTCCCGTCTAATCCACCCTCGACACATGACTCCACCATGGAGGCCACCCTCTACCCTGAGAACCAAGGTGACCCCACCCCCTGACACTTCAGAGACAGGACAGCACAGAACTTCAGCCGCTGCAAAGCTGGGGTGCCCAAGGCCCCGGAACACGACCAGTTGGGTCAGGGCTGCTGCAGGGAGCTGGCTGAGCCTGGGCTGAGCCCGGGCTGAGCCCACTGCTGCTGATGCTGACGGCCCAGCCCCAGGATGGCTTAGATGCCCCAAGCTAGGAGCAGCAGCCCCCACCCCAGGGAGGGGACCACACACCAGGCTCCACACCCCACTTCTGGCACAGCTGCTGCCAGTGCACAGCAAGGGGAACCCCCATCCCCCAGCTTCTAGCTCCTTAAAGGCCAAGGTTGGGCAGAGCCAATCAGGACACACCTGTCCCACAGAAAGGCACACACCACCCATGGCCCACATAGGTCACCCTTTGCCAGCACCTCTGCCATGTCCCATGATCCCTGGTGCACCCCTGATCCGCCCTTGGCTCAATCACTTCCTTGCGTGGTTCAAGGACTAGGGGGCCACCCAAGCCATCCCACCCTCCATCCAACAGGCATCCCCCAGCCTAGGCCACAGTCCTCGAGGAAGCCTCCATACCCAGGTGCTGCCAGACAGCAGACCTGCCTCCAGGTGACACTGGAGGTGAGCGGGTGCCCAGCCCTCTGCCCTCGGCTCCCACCCTCCTCACCTACTAACCCTGCGGTCACTGCCCCAACCTCATTCCATCCTGTCCCCCCACCAGACACCTCTCCCTCCAAGACACTGGGCCATTCAGTCCTGGCTCAAGAGTCCACGGTCTTAGGAGGGCCGGCCTGCGCCCAAGAGAACCGTCACCCGGCCTTGGCACTTTTGTCCTGGGACAGGCTCACCTACCCACACTGCAGCCAGCCTCCCTGGACCCCAGCCCCACCCCTACCTGGCTGTGCTAAGCGCCCGGGGGGAGACCTAGGAAGCTGCCCTGTGCTCTTCAGCCCATCACAGAGCCGGGGCCCTAACCATGGTCCTGGCCCAGGGCCATCCTACTCCTTTTCACTGGCTCCCTGTGGCCTAGGTAGACACACCTGGTATAGCCCTACAGCCCCCAGCACTCAGGTGGGAATGCACAGCCGCACCCCCCACCCCTTGCATGGAGGCTAGACCCACCCCGGACCACGTACTCCCTCAGGCCCACCCATCCCCCAGGTCCACCAGCCCCCCAGGGCGGGGCAGGTGGGGGCACGGCCCTGAGTCAGGAGGGGGCTCCATGGGAGAGGGATGTACCCTGCCTCATCCCCCTAATCCCCTCCCCCATCCACACACACCAGCGGCAGCCCCCCCAGCCCCACCCAGGCTGCCCCTCTCTTGTCCTCTGTTCTGTAACCCTGTTTTATTCCTACAAGATTCCCCATGGCCTTGGGGCTACCCAACCACGTGTGTTTATCTGCTTACCGTCCCATCTCCCAGGGCCCCTTGGGCATGGAGCCACCCCTGCAGCCTGCTCCGTTCTCAGCACATGGCCTAAGACATGATGCACAGTGGATGCTCCATAGGTGAGGGAGATGAGACAGATCAGAGGGGATGTCCCAGAGAGCACAAGCTCAGCCCTCAAGGACAGGGGATGACACAGCCACTGGTACCAAGTCCACCATGCCAGCTCTGAGGAGGTGACTGCAGCCGGCTCCTGGCCTGGACACTGCTGGACGGGCTTGGAGCCCAGCTCTCTAGGACTCAGCCACCTCCAGCCAGCACCAGCAGTCCAAGCCCCATCCTAGAGGATCCAGGGTGCAGGGACACACCAGGGACAGAGAGGACAGACGAGGTCACTCTCCAGGTTAGGGAGAGGATAAAGGCAGGACTCTTTGGAACCCAGAGCCTCCAATGCCCTCCACCCGGCACGCACTGACCCCGGAGAGGAAAGGTGCGCCCATGCAGGCCCAACCCTGGCAGGCGGGGGGAGGGGTCCTAGCCCCGCTCTGCCTGCCTGAGCCTCAGTTTCCCATTCCAAGGAGCTCCCTCCCCAGCCCTTTGCCTATTCTTCCCCGATCCCCTGCAGCGCAGCCAGCCGCTGGGAGCAAGGGGGATGGCTGTGAGGAGCTGCCGCCGCACCCTCAGAAGCCGGGCCTGATGTTTAATTTTGTTTTTATGGCTCAGAGCAATCTTGTCCTAACACAGTAGAAAACACAGCCCGCAGTGCTGGTGGCGAGATCCCGCCTGTCCCCTGAGGACGACTGCAAAATCAATTTAATTTTCCAACCAAACCCACAAACGACACCCATGAGCTTCTAGCACAGGCAGGGGTGACCCTTCGGGAACTGGCCCCCCAAGCTGGGGCACAGGGATGTGCCCTTGTTTACTCAATCCTCATTTAGCGTACATGGGGGCGGGTGGAGCCAGGGGCCACATCTTCTCCCTCCCTGCAGCCTCCAGGGGCTGCAGACCTGCCCAC